CCGACCGCGTCGTGGACGAGATCCTGGAGTCTCTGTCCAGGTCGCAGCATACTCTGGTTGGTGTCCTCTCCGCCCCTCCGGCTGCCTGTCTCCGTTTGTCTTTCAATCTCTGTCCACCATCCGTCTGTCTCCAGGGCGACCATGTGATCAGGAAGAGTCACCCCGTGCTGCGTCCCGAGCCCCCGATGGAGACGGAGGTTCTGGATGAGATGCTTCTGCAGCCAGCAGAGAAACACGGCCAGGATCTGCAGGATGTGGACAGCTGCGTGGTGAGGGACGTCGGTCACCGCGTATGACGACATGGCCTCCGCTGCTTTGCAGAATCAACCCGCACGGATGAGAAGAACTTAAAGTCTCCTGTAACACTAACGGCCTGTTCATCCCTCTTTAGATGAACCCTAAATCCAAGAGGAGGAGCATTCTGGTGAGGATGCTGCGACCCGTCTCCGTGGCCTTCGGTGAGTTAATATCTTTCCGGTGAATACTGAGGCGTATTTGTCTTAGCGGTTGCTAACAAGCTAAAGTAGAGCCGTGATATTGGAGCAGACGTCACGACGAGTCTTCATCCCACTGAACGCTTTGACCCGTTCCTTCTATTTGACCAACAGAGATGGAGTTCGACCTGGACAAGGCTCTGGAGGAGGTTCCCATCCACGTTGAGGACCCTCCTCCTCCTCCTGCACAGCCATTGGACAGAGTGTCAGCCTCCCAGGGAGACCTCCCCCCCCCTCCACTGGACACACAGCCTGTCTGTGTGGGCGAGCTGCCGTCTGTGGAGCACCAGATGCTGGAGCATCACACCAAACTCCGACCCAAACCCATGAAGAGGACCAAACCCAGCCGGCCTGCCGTAGGTGTCCCTCAGGGAGCGAAACCCGGATCACCAGTGATACTTTGGTGAAACCAAATTGATAGTCATGACATAGCTGCCAATAAACTGAAATATCGTTTAATTTCAAATGTTATGCTTCAAATGTTAAATAACCTTGACCTTTTTGTAGATAATGAATCACTTCAGAGGAATCTAGAATAAATACCGTTTCCCTCAATGATGAAGAAGGTGCTGCTCCATCGTTTACAACCCCATAACATCGCTTAAATAAAATCTAATTGAGTCTCATCGTCTCAGCAGAAGGCCCCCGGCAGCCCGACGTCACAAGAGGCCGAGCAGAACAGCATCATGGGAAAGCTGGACGAGGGTCTGGAAGACTTCTTCTCCAAGAAAGTCATTAAACGCAGCTTCAAGTGAGGGTCGAGCTTCACCGTAACCATCCGTCCCTTAAGGATGATTCGTGTCAGAAACGACTCTATAAAATCGATGATTCCACAACATGAAAACCTTTTTTTGGTTCTCGTCTCCAGACTTCCCACTGTGAAAGGTCCGTCCTTCAGCCCGCAAGAAGCGGCCGATAAGAAGCGCGAATCCAGAAAGAGCGGCTTCTTTAACCTCATCAAATCCCGGACGTCCCGCTCAGAGAAGAGCCACGGAACCGCCTCCCTCGCTCCGCCCCAACCGGCCTCCTCCACCTCTGCTTCACCTGCTCCCGCTATTACCGCGGTCACTGAGGAAACCACCCCAACGTCCCCCGCCACCCCCGCGGGAAGCTCTGGCGCTGCGGCCGAGCCGCATCAGGAGCTCCGCAGGGCTCACTCCTCGGACCACACGGATTCTGAAATGGAGACCCCTTCGGCGTCCGCCGAACCCGAGGTGGCGAAGGAGGAGACGCGTGTGGGGACTAAGGAGATCCCCCACATTCCCCGTCATATTGGGGTCCCTGTGATGGGCATGGACCTTCTGGCTGAGATGAAGGCCAGACAGGAGAGGATGGCTGTGAAGAAGGTGAGTGGAGCTCATGGTTCAAATCTTCTGAAGGCATTTGAGACCATCATTACACCACTATCTCTGCTACCAATAACGTGTGATGCAAAGTTGAGAACATGCAGCAAGACGAAGTAACATTTAATAGAGAAAAGTTACTTAAACTTACAAATTGAGTGTGATTTAAATGCTATTGTGATTGACGTTTTTAGTCACTTTTATATTTTTATGTCAATTGTATCGCTGTATCTTAACTTTTGCACTATTTCATGTCTTCAGTTGGTATATCGACATTCTTCCACGTGTGATAGTTTTTTATTGGAGGGAATTATTTCCTTGCTAACAACAATTTAAAAGATGCTAAAATGAAAACTCGTCTGTCTCCAGGCCGAGTCGTCAGCCGTACTGGACAATGTGCTCAACAATAAAGGTCAGTTTCCTGTTGACCTTTGCTGGGATTTCCATCCATACGTTGTTCATATGTTGCAGTTTATTGTGTGTGTGTATATAAATCTTGAAAATGTGATATTTAAATGGCAGGCGTCCGTCCTGTCATCAACGTGGACGCCGACGAGTCCAAACCGGAGCCGACTGCCAGGTCGAAACCACCCGGCGTCACCCCCAAACGGCCCCCAACCCAAGCGTCCAAACCTCCACTCGGGCCCCGGACCTCCGGGCCCCTCAGTCCGACCAGACCCGGCGGCCCCTACACCTTTGGTAGGCGACGGTTTGGAGAAACTCTCCTGTTGTATTTGTACCAAATCAATTGACTGTTTGATCGTTCTGTTTCTCAGAGGACTCGGCTGAGGCTCCAACAGGAAGCCCGTCTACCAAAGGACCACTTCCTGCCCCCCGCCTGAAGAGGGCCCCATCGGAGCAGGAGAGAGAGCGCAGCGACTCCGCAGGAGCCCCGTCTCTGCTGGACGGTAAGCATCTCCTCACCAGCGCGGCAGCAGCAGCAGCTTTGTGATATTGGGAGAAACACCATTCGACGAGTTGGTTGAAGTCTTTTCGGGTGCTTGGCGGCAGCGGTGGAAGTTCCAGTAGCGGCATTGATCTTCTATCGTAGCGTTTTAGTAACACGTGTTGAATTACAAATGAGCCCTTTTCCTTTGTTGAGGTCGTGTGACTCAGCGCTCCGAGCTGACAAGCTGATTAATGAATGCTTTCAAGGCCTCACTTGACGCCTCCACACACACTTCATCCCAAGCAGAGGCCGCGTGTCTGTGATTTGTATAATTAACACGTGCAGGAAGTATTTTTAACAGTTTCTTCCATGTAATCAAAAAGGGGAGTTTTGTGTTATATAAAAATATTTTTAAAATGGAAAGTGATGAACACAAAGAAGTGCTTTACACACTGAGTATATAATAACGCTTATTCAGATCCATGGATTCGTCCGTGCATATTTATATTTGTCATTCTAAAGACTAGCTGGTCCCACACGTCCATCTCTCTGCTCTAGAGGATCGAGGGCTGGACTTTAAATAATCCACCTTTTCACTCGTTTCTACAGGTGAGTCTTCCGACGACGGTGATGCGTTCGAGGTGCCCAGTCCAGCGGTCGATCCCGGCGCCGAAGGCCGCCCGTGGTCGTCCCTGAAGAGCTCGGACAGTCCACCTCCTCCTCCTCCTCCTCCGGAGGAGGAACCGGAGCGAGCTGAGTCGCTGCCCTCCCTCGGTCTGACTAATCCCCCCCCTTCATCTCTGAATGTAGAACGAATCACCTCCAGACATCTGAAACCGCTTTAGAAAGTTTCATTTCAGAGGATCTTCTTTTTGAATTTCCCAGTCAGACCGGATTTGCTCATCGGTTCTCTTTCTTTCTCTCTCCCCCCCAGTGAGGCCTCCCTCCCTGACCGACTCAGATCTCAGTCCAGCTGAAGACGGCGTTCCCTCTCCGCCCGCTGACCTCAAGTCCCACGATGAGACGGAGGACGAGTCGGACGCCGCCAGTCCGACCCGGGCAGAACTTTAGCCCCGGTGTGTCCTGATCTCGGATCAGTCCCAGCTGTCTGGCCAGATTACCACCAAATCGGCCCCGTTAGCGTCTCCGTGGCCACGAAGAAGAGAGCCGACGGCTTCCTTCTGGTGCTGCTTAGACGGGAAGGAGGTCCGGTTCTGCACGACTTCCAGCGTGTGTTTTATCTACAGAAAAATGAACAGCAAGAGAAACTAAAGAGTTCTGCTGCTGAGACAAACTAATCAAACCCAGATCAGCTCATTCAGCTTTTATCAAAACTCTATTTTCATTTTAACAGAATACCCTTTTTATTTCACAGTGATTATAAGGACTGAATGATTATGATGACGAGTTAATAACCGCAGATGGTTTTATTGCATCACACCTTGTCCATGTTTTGGGATTGTATGCGTGTGTGTATATATATGAATGTTTTTTTTATATATATAATTTTTTTTTAAATGCTTATATTATGAGCCATATAGTTTGGTGGTATTTAGTCCCACACAAAAGGTGGCGGATGCTATTCATTGTTCTGCTGGGTTTATTTAAGTCACTCGTTGCCTCTGAGCTTTCGGCTGCTTCTCCTGGTCTTCATCCGCCCTGCCGCAGTCAGAATGCAGGATTAATGGCGTGTAAACACAGTTGTTCACAACCGAGCGCTTCCTGAAAGGTCTGTGACGCCCAAATAAGGGCTTCTGGCAGAGAGGCTCATCGCCGCTGCTGTTTGCTGGTTCCACGCCGCTTCCTGTGGCTCAACGTGCTGCTGCACTCACGTGCCTAATATCTAATAATGTTCACATGCATCCGTTTGATATAAAAAAACAAAACAATTTAATTTAGAGAGTTCGATGCACATCTCTGGGGTTTATATTGTATCATCCAGGACACAACTCTGATTTATCACACGCGTGCTGCTGATTCACATATAAGAAACGTGGTGGTGGTAGTTTTCTATTTGATTTGGGAAATATGGTATATTTTTATTCTAAGACCTGAAAGTAAACGTACGTGTTCTTGTTTATTTGCCATAAAATGTACAAACCTGGAAATGTGATATCAGCCTGTCGGATATTTCTGTATTTGTATGTTTCTCTGACCAATAAATGCAGCTTCACCATCCAGACTCCGTCTGTTTCTCCCCCTCCTCCCCCCTCCCCCCTCCCTCCCCCTCTCGCCCTCCTATACAAGCGGTCGAATCCCTCTGTGGTTTCACTGCTCTGAACTCTGCAGAGGAGGAGAACTCGGTGCACGTTAAACATCACTAGCGGTGAACCGGTTTGACGCCGCGCGCCTCTGGAAGAAGCGCGCTCCGGACGGGCTTCAGCACCATGGACAGCTCCCTGGACGCCGCGGCGTTCTTGCAGATCTGGGAACATTTTGACGCCGACGGTAAGAAGAGGTTCAGCTGTGATTTTTATAGTAAATTAGGGCTCGTATTTCATGGCATCAGGAGATGGATGTTTGCAGGCGGGGGCACCACGTGGTCCAGATGCTTTAATAAGTAAGACGTTTGGTGAAATAAAGTACATTGTAATAAGGAGGACAGTTTTAACTTCAATACCTTCAGGGTGTGAACACTCTACCTTCCTAAAATCAGCTTTTAAGTAATGGAGAAATGTCACCTGTGAACAAACAAACCTCACTAAACATATTTTCATTTTATTTTGTCACATGATCTCAGGACTTTCAATCTGAATTACACGTGATTCATAAAGCTTTGAGTTCGACTGTTTTTTCATTTTTAAACGAGTGTGTAAGATCCACGTGTTAAAGCTGCGTTCTCTGTAGTGACCAGCAGGGGGCGACTCTTCTGGTCTATGAGGAAATGACGACTACTCTGCGTCAACTGTTTTCTGCATACTGACCCCTAGAGGTCAAAAAGGGTTACTTTTTACCCTCATCCTTCACACTAGTGTATTTTGTCTTGGAATCCGCACACAAACCATTTTACTGAGCAAACCGGTTTCTAGTCGATGGGACACTTTGTCTGTTTTGGTTCTTCAGATAACGGTTACATCGACGGAAAGCAGCTGGATGCCTTCTTCCGACACATGCTGGAAAAGTTTGGGATGAAGGTAAAGAGATCAAATCTCACGGCCATGACAATAAAGATCAAATCAACTTCATCTTTTTAGCCTCGTCTGATCGGTGGAACTGAACTTTTTTCTGTGTGTGTCCACCGTAGAAAAAAACTGCACTAATGAATCCATCATTGCGTTTTTAAAATGGTCAATCGCCATGTTGTTGTCAGACGGAGGAGATGACGGAGGAGATGACGGAGGACGGAATCAGAGGACTGAGGGACAGATTCACGTCTGCTTTCGACGCGGCAGCGGACCGACGTCTGCAGATACAAGAGGTCGTCTTTAGAAGAGTCTGAATGTTCAGTATTCACGCGTGTGTAGCGTGAGGTGGTGAGGCGGTGCTCCACCTGCTGGTGGAGAGAAGTCCGGTTGGCAGTTAGGATGGTGCGAAAGGAGCCTTCAGCTACGACGCTATTCATCCATGTATTCCTTTTCAGCTGGCCACCGTCATGCTGCCGGAGGAGGAGAACTTCCTGCTTTTGTTTCGCAGAGAGACGCCGCTGGACAACAGCGTGGAGTTCATGAGGGTGAGGGTCAGAGGTCAACGTGGAAAACGCACATCAAGAAGGACAGGGGAGGCAGTTTTATTAAACCCCCCCCCACATAAGCTTTTGATAGTCGGTTGCTCCTTCAGTCCGTCAGTTCTTACAGAAAATTACATTTTTACAAGTCATGATGGATAAAATGTCAAAGAACAGCCGGTTTCTCACTGGTGTCTTTCTACGCCTCTTCTATCCAGTCAGTGCTCACTACGTCAGCTACGTTTTTTTAATTTCCAGATCATTTTCACAAAATTTCCTGTGAATATTTGTCACCAGAGAAGAATTCAGAATGTTTTTGGTGATCAGAAGAACATCGTGAGATCGTTTCGTTCTGCACTTTGTGTAATATTCACGGTTTGTCCTTGCAGATCTGGAGAAGCTACGACTCGGACAGCAGCGGCTACATCTCAGCGACTGAGCTCAAGGTAACGGCTGACCTTCGCTGACCTTCGCTCCTGCTCTGGGCCTCGTGTTTGTGGCTTTTCATCTACAGTCGTCGAAGAAAACGAGCACACACGGTTTTATTCATCTGCCATTTCTTTTAGGGTCACTATGAGGATCACTTGTTTTGTAATCGGGTCGTCCCTGTGGACTATAGTAGCGTTGTTAGCACCACGGTCCCTTTGGAAAACCTCAGTCCTGGTCCTCCGGGGCCTCCCTTCCCTCCAGCGGTACAGAAATGCCCCCTGGGTGTTCAGCAGCGTGGTGGTGTCTCCCGTAGAGGAGCCTGTAGTAGCATGTTTACTCGCTGTCGCTCGGGGAACCTTATGGAACTTTATTGCACGTGTGTCTTCAGGGCTTCCTGCAGGACCTCTTCCTGCAACACAGGAAGTCCATCACCCCCGAGAAGCTGGAGGTTTACACTGACGCCATGGTGAGCAGATGCCAGTGCTGCAGACGTCTTCTCGTCAGAGACGGAGTAACCGTTCTGATCTCTTTCCTTCCTGCAGATGAAGATGTTTGACAAGAACCGGGACGGCAGACTGGACTTGAATGATCTGGCCAGGTACTGATGATCTCTGCGTCGGATGTCGTTGCAATCATCCATCTCTCAAAACCGACATTTAAAATGTAATTGTCTTTGTCTCTGAATAAAAGCAACAACCTTGTTTCTTGTCTTCTGAAGAATCTTGGCCCTGAAAGAGAACTTCCTCCTGAAGTTTAAGATGGAGGTAAGTTTGAAGAGACTTTTGGGAGGTTTCTTTACGCAGATGTTCCTACATGTGTTTCATAACTCTCCTTGATGTGTTTGGTGTCAGGCTTGCAGTCAGGAGGACAGGAAGAGAGACTTTGAGAAGATATTTGCTCACTATGACGTCGTAAGTTGGACTTTAGCTTTTTGTTTGTTTTTGTCTTTCAGAGAGCAGATCGAATAAGGCTTGAATATTAGCTTGTTTGAAATGGAATGCTGATTGAAAGACAATATTCATTCAAAGGAGCTAATTTATCAAATTATAGATCTCCCCACAAAATGTGATTACTTAGATTAGGATCATTATTTTGGGATTGTAAATTCAAATATATGAGGCATTATCTTATTACATATGCTTGTATTTATATACACGGCATTCTTTTCCATAAATAGGAACATTGTATTAAGTCCGTTTCAGAATATGTTTCTGATATATTACTGTCAAAGGTTTCTACAGGGCAGATTTATGACACAATAAGTAAGAAACAGTCAGATAAATGCGTCTGAGAACAAACCTCCAGGATCCAGAGAAGAGTGAAGCTGTGAAGTGATGTTGGAGCTCCTGAAGATTAGTCACATGACCGACATGTGAAGAGGGTCAAAGAATGAAAATGCATCACTACATTAAGAGAAGCATTTATGGAATTAAAGAGTAGAAATCAAGCAGGAAAAGCTTTATCACATGTTATGGTTAAATATGCAAATGAAGTTTTAGTGAATTTAGTAGACATCTACAGACACAAAAGTCAGTGCTTTATATGCATGTCCTTAGTGTCTTAGGGGGCTGGAGTCAATCAGGCGAGAGACGGCGTCCAGCTTGATCGCAGCGACAGACGAAAGTAGTGAAATAAATAGTTTAGTGGATGTTTTGGACAACATGCAATGAATAAGTGTTAATAAGAAATACGAACCAAAATCTCTAAATGGATCACTGCATGAAAAATAATGAAAATGAAAAATAATATGTGTGTGTGTGCGTGCGTGCAGAGTAAGACCGGTGAGCTGGAAGGCCCTGAGGTGGATGGATTTGTGAAGGACATGATGGAGCTGGTGAAGGTGATCACGGTTTCACTGCCGTTGCATCAGATACCTCACACACAGAGGTCAGGCAGGATTTTAACAGGTTGACCTCTGACCTCTTTGTTGAACCCATTCCCTCAGCCCAGCATCAGTGGCACCGACCTGGACAAGTTCAGAAAAGCCCTGATGGGTCACTGCGACATCAACGGAGACGGAAAGATCCAGAAGAACGAGCTGGCTCTCTGCTTGGGCCTCAAGCTCAGCTGAAGGAGCCGCACGGCCTTCAAGACGACGCTTCTTTCTTTCCTCGATCGCTACTCACGTTCAGCCTCCTTTTCGTTCTACCTTTCCAGTTTAAGTTGCATATTTGCAATCCTGATGTATGTGTATATCATCCCTCACTGGCTCTGCTTGGTGTTTAGAGGCCTATGTATCCATTTGTGTATGATCCTTGATGGAAGCAAAACCATCATTTATACAATTCTCTGTACTAAAAATTCCAGCCAGTTGGTGTTTTCATGATTACATGACATGCTTCTTTGTAATGAGGTCAAATATCTAACAGTGTTTGGATCAGATTCTTGTGGGACCAATAATGTGAATGTTTGTTAATAAAAAAAGTGCTAAATCAGCTGTGTTTTATTCTGCAAGATGATAATTCTGCAGCAAAAACCTCATTATTAAATCACTGCAAATGGCTTCTTTTTTTTTACAGTGCTCTTCGATTAATGGCTGCGCGCTGAGAAGGAAATACGTAGTTTGTGTTTTAACAACGCTTCGCTGATGAGCTGTGTAAGAATACGTGTTCAAGATTTGGAGCCTGGTCGGGGTTATCAAAAATTCAGCCGAATGACTTCTCTCGTTCTGGAAAATTTATTTGTCAGATCACAGGTCAAGTATCAGCGCTGCGTTTGCAAAGGCAGGAGCAGTTCAGGCAGCACACAGGCCGGAAGAACAACTAACTAACATCAGCAAGAACATCATGTTTTATAACCCTTGAAAGACAGAGAAGGAAATATTTCTATTGGCCCTAAACTGGCGTAGAGGAGGACCTTCCACCTCCCGCATCTAAGATCCGGTCACATCCAATGTCCAGACTCCTGACTTAACGTAAGCATCGTAAACAGAGTGTGTATGTTGAATAGTGTTGGTGTGTCTCTAACCCCCCTTTGGATGGTAAATCTTCTAGTTGACCCGCAGACCTTACATTCCTCAGCCAGGACATAAACTGACTCCCCATCCTGTCAGACTCGTGTCTGCCTGCTTGGCAGATCCTGCTTCCCCCCTTACCTAACTCTTAAATCAAGACAAGACAGCAAACCCCCAACTAAGCCCATGAAAATAACTTTTGATTATCAGCTGTTTGAACCGCGAAATCCGAATCTGTCCTCAGCCTTATTTATTAAGCTGTCACTCATGATGCCCCGCCCCTCCAAGGTGATGCCCCGCCCCCTGCGCCACGTCAGGGTCAAAAGTCTGAATGTGAAAAAAAGTTTTGAATCTGAAAATATAAAATCTACCAACAGAAAAATCTAATACAGTGAATATCATATATATATATAATACATATATATATATATATATATATATATATATATATATATATAAGTGAAGATTGAAAAAAATATTTTATTCAAAATAAATATAGAGCTGAGTCAAAACTATATTCGTCCAAAAAATATTTTTCATCCACTTATTTTTATTTTGAAAACATTGTTGTATTTTTCAATGTTCAGTAACAAAACTTAAACTTTCAGGTTCACATTTGTTTTTCAAATGAACAAAACTTTTGACCTGGATTTGGCTCCATACAGTGTCACCAGTCATTGAGAGAGCGCTAAATGACAAACCGCTATGAAGATGTAATGTTCCACAGCAACCTGAGACAAAGGAATGGATATACATATAAAATATATTCTCCCCCAACAAATATATCCTGTTTTGATAAAGAGCTAAAAGTCAGAGCAGCATGCTTATTTACTGTCTAACTTCTGGTTCCGTCGTACCTTGCAGAATGTGAGTTACTGTGTGTATGACAACATTTCCCTGACAGCCAAAGAACGTTCATTTGGGAAAGTTTAGAGAAAAATTCAACCGCCGTTAGATTACGTAACCGTGGACATTTCTTAAATGAGCTAAATTGGAAACACCTGCCCAAGTTGTTGGAGTGGACGTCTCAATCTGATTCCAATTACTTCATCAGCGTGACACCTGATTGGTCGGGACCAACACTTAAAAAAGGCCCCTGTCCATGCAGCAGTTAGAAAGCTGTACCACCAGATACGGTTGGTCTTCCTGAGCGCAGCAGCACAGATTGCAGGCTGGTTAACGGCAGCTTGACAACAGCTTGACAACCAAAGATGTCGTTGGGCTTTGGTGTGAGGTATAGCTGCTCTTTGTTCTTTCAGCATCTGTATAATGCATCAATCCTGTCATGTTTACTTCTACTTATGTTCTTTTTTCAGAGTGCTTGTTCTCTCCCTTTTGGCTTTTGGGCACGATGCAAATGGTAAGTATTCAGGGGACTCGACTGGCCGCTTCATTTCAGTAACCTCTTGAAAATCTAGGCTTCTAAAATATTTTTTCTTTTTCTAGCACTGCGTGACAAAAGTGAAGGCATCAGTGGCATTGGGCCTCTCTTTTCTTATCCCAGAAGACGGAGCCCTGCTTTTGTGTCTCAATATGAGAGCTCTGCACAGCCTGGAGGATTTCTGGGTACCCAGAGTGGAAATGGGCCAGTAGATGGTTACAGTCGAGATGGAAGTGTTTCTAGTTACGTCCCTAGCTCACAGATCCTTAGGAAATCTCCAAAGAACTCTCAGCAGCCACCTCAAACTAACACTTATGGTAATGGTGTATTGTGGACCAACAGTGGCAACTTGGATTTGGTCCCTCAACAAAAAGGATATAGCATTGAGTCTGGTATTGCCTCAAGTAGTGCAATTATTATGCAATCTGATCCTCAACCCAGTGCGTTCAATCTGGGCTACCCACAAAATTGGCTGAGGACCCAGGAGTCGCCCCCTTTCAAAATTGGTTTCCCAACAAAAGCAGTTCATGAGCAGAGCACCTCCGATACTGTCTACCCCCAGGAGCTTCCCACATCGACTATGATCTACCCACAGGAGCAGCCCACCTCAAATCTTGTCTACCCTCAGAAGCCCCCCAGGCCCCAGGAGCTGCCCACTTCCAATACTGGCTACCCTCAGGAGTTTCCCACATCAAATCTTGTCTACCCTCAGAAGCCACCCAGGCCCCGGGCACTGCCCGCCTCTAATACTGGCTACCCTCAGAAGCCCCCCATGCCCCAGGAGCTGCCGACTTCCAATACTGGCTACCCTCAGAAGCCTCCCAGGCCCCAGGGGCTGCCCACTTCCAATACTGGCTACCCTCAGGAGCTTCCCACATCAAATCTTGTCTACCCTCAGAAGCCACCCAGGCCCCGGGCACTGCCTGCCTCTAATACTGGCTACCCTCAGAAGCCCCCCATGCCCCAGGAGCTGCCCACTTCCAATACTGGCTACCCTCAGAAGCCCCCCATGCCCCAGGAGCTGCCAACGTCCAATACTGGCTACCCTCAGAAGCCCCCCAGGCCCCAGGGGCTGCCCACTTCCAATACTGGCTACCCTCAGAAGCCCCCCATGCCCCAGGAGCTGCCAACTTCCAATACTGGCTACCCTCAGGAGCTTCCCACATCAAATCTTGTCTACCCTCAGAAGCCCCCCATGCCCCAGGAGCTGCCCACTTCCAATACTGGCTACCCTCAGAAGCCCCCCATGCCCCAGGAGCTGCCAACTTCCAATACTGGCTGCCGTCGAATGCCCCCCAGACCCCAGGGGCCACCCACCTTCAATACTGGCTACCTTCAAACGGCGCCGAGGCCCCAGGAGCTGCCCACCTTCAATACTGGCTACCTTCAAAAACCGCTGATGCCCCAGCAGTTGACTACTCTCAGTTCTGTCTACCAACCACATAAACTCAACCCCCAGAAAGGGGTGTTTCAAACTAAAGCTGGCATGTGGGACTTGGTTTCAGGTTCTATTTTGCCACCACCTAGGCCCCAAAAGCTTCCCACTTCCAATACTGGCAACCTTCAAAAACCGCCGAGGCCCCAGCAGTCGAACAGTATACCAGGTAGCGGCATCCACTAGTGCCGTTGTAAAACATTGACCTCGTCGTTCGCCGCAGTAAGTTAACTTTAAATTTAGTCTTTTTGGCGAAGAAGTTTCACTTGATGGCATACTTTCTGAATATTTCTGTTTTACAGGTTCCTGACTTTCTGAAAGCAGTCTGTCCTGACATCTGCCTTTTGTCAAATTCAATAAAGTACTTTGAACTGCACTGTCTACCAACAATTGTCATTTGATGCATGCAAAAATATGGAAACATTTTGAAACTAATAAATAGAATCTAATGTACAGCTATGATTGTGTTCAATGTAACCGGCTGAAAGTAATGCAATACTTGATAGCACCACAACTGGTATTGACTGAGAGACATCCAAAATTCAAGTTTTGTTCAACTCTCCAGGAGACCAATCCCAGGGGTTTAGACACTAACTTTCACACCTTTACTGATCTGTATAAATACCTGTAGGCACCAATTGTTCGCTGGTGGGAGCAGGAGTCTGTCTCTAGGTGGTCAATGGGCCCTGTGGCCCGTTTGCAGAGACCAGTGTTGCGTCAGTCTCCTTCTGTCTATGTTCCTGTTTGCAGATTGGAGACTGGAGTTAAGGTGACAGGTTGCACCTGTGGGTGGAGCTAGCCAGATGTTAACATTCCTGGTGCCCAGTCTGTTCTCTCTACAAGCACCATTTTGATTTAGTAGTTGGAGCATGCGTTTTGCTTAAGTATACCTCAACACCTACACTTTTTATATTCATCCATGCGTTTCCATTACACCCGTCATATGCCTACTTTAACAGTTCACCAGTTTATTTTCCGCTGTATATTCATACTTCGTTAGTTCTCGAATAAAACCTTTAAGTCCAACGTGTGGACTCCCTTTGTCACTTTCCATTAGCCGGGTTGTAACACCAGCGGCTCCTCACCTGAGATGTTCACTTTAGCACAACACTTTTTCTTTTAAATACTTTTGATTTTAACTCTTCAATACAAGTATGTCTTCTGTCCATCCGGAGTTTCTTCATTTTTGAAACACAAAAAAACAGATTGGTCATCTGAAGCTGTACGTGAAGTCTTACCACAATCACACTGATCTATTTTGTCTAAATGCTAACTGACTCATCTTAAATCTACTCAAAGTCACGTTAATCTCTTTCCCTTCTCTCATTCTACCTTGAGGGCCGCACCTACCGGGTAACCTGGAGAGGATCTGTGTCAGAACCTTGTCCTCTTACTACTGGAGTTCCTCAGGGTTCCGTTCTGGTTCCTCTTCTCACTCTACACCAACTCTCTCGGCGCTGTCATTCGCTCGCATGGCTTCTCCTACCACAGCTTTGCCGATGACACCCAACTAATTCTCTCCTTCCCTCACTTGGGGACTCAGATGGCGGCACGGATCTCTGCCTGTCTGACTGACATCTCTCAGTGGATGTCCGCTCACCATCTGAAAATCAACCCCAACAAGATTAAACGACTTCTATTTTCGGGAAAAGATTCTCCTTCACGGGACCTGACTGTTAACTTTGGCGACTCCGTGTTAACGTCCACTTTGACTGCAGGAACCTCGACGTGACGTCGACAGCCGACTCTCTCTGACTCCAACATCACTAAAAAAACACGATCCTGTAGCTACACACTCTACAACATGAGGAGAACACGTCCTCTTCTCACTCAGAAGGAGGTACTGATTCAGGCTCTTGTCGTCTCCCTCCTGGACTACTGTAACTCTCTCCTGCAGGTCTCCTGCTACCACCATTCCACCTCTGCAGCTCATCCAGAATGCAGCAGCTCCACTGGTCTTTAACCTTCCTAAGTTCTCCCTCACTCCTCCACTCCTCCGCTCTCTTCACTGGTACCGGTGGCTCATCCAGTTCTAAACACTGGTGCTCACGTACCGTGCTGTGAATGGATGGGGTCCAGCTTCCATCCAGGACCTGATCCAACCCGACATCCCGACCCGCACTCTCCGCTCTGCATGTGATAAACTGCTCGTTCCTCCTCACTGAGAGCAAAACACTCGACTAGATCTCCACTCTTTGCTGTCCTGCTCCTAAATGGTGGAAGGAGGTCTCTGAAGACATCAGGACCACAGAGAGCCTTCACATCTTCAGACTAAAGACACACCTCTTCAGACTCTACCTCCACTAACACACTAACTGTAGCACTTACATTGGACATTGGACTTATAATGGTTCTTATCTACAGCAAGTTGTACATCCGCTTATTTGATGAAATCACACTTTCTTGTTTCTTGTTCTTCTGAGTTTGTGTCCTTATGGTTGAAATGTTCTTAGTGTAAGTCGCTTTAGATAAAAGCGTCAGATAAATGACATGTGATGTAATGTTATACTCCTGTGTGAACTTCGGTCTGCCCCAAATTAATCTTCTTGGTGACAGGCTGTATTTCTCAAATAAATAAAAGTCCAATAACTGACAGGAAGTTTGCCCCTTGGTTTAACCCTGAAACTACCGCAAAACTTGAACAGCTATGGCGTTCCACTGCAGTCTATTTCTTGTCATTAATAGAGGAAAATTAAAACAAACCCGGGTCTCCCTTTAGCACTGTGAGCAGACTGTCAGTGACCGCTCTGTCGAGCTGTGTATTCCTATGGACATCAGTGGTAATGACTTTAGAAACTTCTTCAATGAAAATCCAACTATTAGAGAGAAAATTGAAAATGCCTCTCCTGTCTTCGACCAGTACTAAACGTAAAATGTAGCATAGAAACAGCTGTAAACCTGATTCACCATGACCACGTGACAGTTAATAAGTATAAACCTTACCTGCTCCCTAGATGTACCACAGTCCTTCAGAATAGCTGTAATCAAACTTCTTTTTAACGAACCCAATCTTGATACCGAGGTGTACGTTATCTTTGGAGCAAGTTTACTTGAGGATTTTAATCAGGATTCAGTTGTGTGGTCAGTGTTGGAGGACGTTATGAAACAGCAGTTTTCTGTTATTACTTTTTGGATTTGAATTGTGATGAGAGCTGTCATAGTTTGGTTATTGGTCCCTGATCGCAGGGTGGTAATCCCTTAGTATTATTATAATTTGAATGATCTTGTTTACATTAGTCCTTTTGATTGATTGATCAATCATTTTGTTCAATACTCTGATACCAACAACCCTCCTCAGCAATATGCCTCACCCCTTTTTCCTTTTCCCAACAACATGACGGACCCCAGGTCAATTTACATGTAGCTTCACAGTGATTGGGAAAAAGAGTTAAAGAATTGAGGAAGACACGTCGTCTACTCTGTAACTCCTAACTCTGTTGTGTTTGAGTTGAGGCAGAAAATCTTAGAGGTGGAAATCTGAAAATGACATTGTGTAAGAGCACATTTTTGTCAAAGCCTAAGAAAGTTGTTAGATAATGAACATTGACCTTTAAGCAGATCAACAAACTGAACCGTTCTTAAATTACATGAATAATACCAAAATAACCTTTTACTGAGTGTGATGACATTTTTCTCACAGCTTAATAAAGTCGATCTTTTGTGAGAAATTACCTTTAAGCCGATCAACAAACTGAACCGTTCTTAAATGACATGAACGTAGACATTTTTGAAATGAGCTAAATTGGAAACACCTGCCCAAGTTGTTGGAGTGGACGTCTCAATCTGATTCCAATTACTTCATCAGCGTGACACCTGATTGGTCGGGACCAACACTTGAAAAAGGCCCCTGTCCATGCAGCAGTTAGAAAGCCGTACCACCAGATATTGTTGGTCTTCCTGAGAGCAGCAGCACAGATTGCAGGCTGGTTAACGGCAGCTTGACAACCAAAGATGTCGTTGGGCTTCGGTGTGAGGTATAGCTACTCTTTGTTCTTTCAGCATCTGTATAATGCATCAATCCTGTCATTTTTACTTCTACTTATGTTCTTTTTTCAGAGTGCTTGTTCTCTCCCTTTTGGCTTTTGGGCACAATGCGAATGGTAAGTATTCAGGGGACTCGACTGGCTGCTTCAATTCAGTAACCTCTTGAAAATTGGGGCTTCTAAAATGTTTTTTCTTTTTCTAGCACTGCGTGACAAAAGTGGAGGCATCCGTGGAAGTGGGCAAGTAGATGGTTACAGTCGAGATGGAAGTGTTTCTAGTTATGTGCCTCGCTCACCGATCCTTAGGAAATCTCCAAAGAACTCTCCGCAGCCACCTCAAACTAACACTAATGCAAATGACATCTTCTGGACCCAAGCTGAGAACTGGGTCCCTCCACAAAGTGGAGAAAGCATTGAGTCTGGTATTGCCTCAAGTAGTGCAATTATTATGCAATCTGGTCCTCCGCCCTCTAATCCCCAGCAGCCCGACGACCAGCCATCTACTTTTGATACGACCTACCAGCCGAACCAGCCCAGCCCCCACAAACCAACCACTTTCACTTCAGGTTACCAGCAGAATCGTCTAAGGCCCCAGCAACTACCTACTTTATATCCAACCTACCAGCCCAGGCCCCGGGAGCCAACCACTTTTAGACCAGGCTACAAGCAGAACCTTGCGATGCCCCAGCAACTGCCCTCTTTCCTTCCAACCTACCAGCCGAGGCTCCAGGAACCGACCAGTCTCGATCAGGTCTACCAGCAGAGGGCTCCCAGGCCCCAGAAGCCACCCACTTTAAGTAAGGGCTATGAGCAGAATTTGCTGAGGCCCCAGCAGCAGCCTACTTTCAATAAGGGTCACCGGCTCACGCCTCCTGGGCCCCAGGAGCTGCCCACTTTTAGATCGGGCTGCCAGCCGAAGCCCTCAAGGCCCCAGCAGCCGCCCACTTTCGATGATGGTTACCAGCAAAGGCCCCAGCAGCTGCCCCCGAGGCCCCAGCAGCCCACTTTCGATGATGGTTACCGGCCGAGGCCCCAGCAGCCCACTTTCGATGATGGTTACCGGCCGAGGCCCCAGCAGCCCACTTTCGATGATGGTTACCGGCCGAGGCCCCAGCAGCCGCCCCCGAGGCCCCAGCAGCTGCCCTCCAAGCGTGTCTCCCAACCACAGAAGCCCAAGCACCAGAAAGGCGTTATTCAAACCAAAGCTGGCATGTGGGACTTGTTTTCTGATTCTTTTGTGCAGCCTGCGAACTCAAATGTTGATCCAAGAAGGCCAATTTCAACGGCATCTCTGGACCATCCAAGGTGGTAGCCTCCACTGGTGCCTTTTGTAAAATGGACATGATTGTCCTCATAGTAAGTATACACTTTAAATTTCAATAGCCGATGTTCTTAATAAGGGGGTGGCAAATTCCAATACTTCATTGACTTTGCGATTCATGCATTGTAAAATTTCTTAATTCTGTTCACAGATTCCTGAAACTCATCTGAACAAGTTTTCCTCCAATAAACTACTTTTGAACTTTAATAAATTACTTTCAACTTCACTGTCTGCCATTAATGTCATTTAAAACTTTCAAAAGTTGCCATGTTTTTGTATCTTACTGGTGAGGACCTGCTTTCATTTTGTTTCATCGCACAAAAGTTAATCTGATTCAATCGCTGTTCTAGCACCTTGGTATTGTATATAAATGTGGCCCAGCTGCCATTTTATATCAAATGTGGTCTTTCATGAGGTAACTTCCAGTTTGTTTTGTTTCTCCCTTGTTTGACTTCCTGGTTGCAATCCGACGCCCTCAGCCTTAACTTAAAGTGTTTTGACAGGAGGCCTTATGTTTGGTATTCAAAGATTAGTATTTTCTGACGCTAACATGATTTAATTCAAAGATTAGTTTTCTGTTACTAGTTTGCATTTGAATCAGGACGGCTGTCTATAAATGACTTATGCTAAAATTCACACTTACATTGTTATGACTCCATTGTTTGGTTGGTACCTGATCCCAGGGTGGTGTTCAATTCCTTGTGAATACCTTCATGTTGGAATATCTTAAGGAACGTCTCTGTAGAAAAGTATACAGCAGGACTATCTCCCAACTGGCAATCCAATAAGGACCACACATTGACTATGAATTTTTATTTAATTGTTCACTTAATAAAACCTCTTAATGTTACAATGACTTACAAACTACTGGGTGCATAAACATGCAACACAATTAGATATTGGGAAATACTCATTTTTAATGTGATACTGCTTTTTCCTTGTTATACTGTGGTATATTACCTGGTCATTGCTGGAAATGTATATTCCGTTATACTTTCCTGTGTGCATACTTACGAATAATCGAACATCCTCCCAACTGAGCAGAGAAGCAACTTCACCAAACCCATTTTTCTTATGACAGACATCAGTTTAATTTTAACTGTTGTGCTTGAGTTAAGGCAGTAATCTCAGAAATCTGAGAACCTCAACCAATAATAACAAAATAACCTTTTACTGAGTGTGATGACATTTTTCTCACAGCTTAATAAAGTCGATCTTTTGTGAGAAATTACCTTTAAGTCGATCAACAAACTGAACCGTTCTTAAATGACATGAACGTAAACATTTTTGAAATGAGCTAAATTGGAAACACCTGCCCAAGTTGTTGGAGTGGACGTCTCAATCTGATTCCAATTACTTCATCAGCGTGACACCTGATTGGTCGGGACCAACACTTGAAAAAGGCCCCTGTCCATGCAGCAGTTAGAAAGCCGTACCACCAGATATTGTTGGTCTTCCTGAGAGCAGCAGCACAGATTGCAGGCTGGTTAACGGCAGCTTGACAACCAAAGATGTCGTTGGGCTTCGGTGTGAGGTATAGCTACTCTTTGTTCTTTCAGCATCTGTATAATGCATCAATCCTGTCATGTTTACTTCTACTTATGTTCTTTTTTCAGAGTGCTTGTTCTCTCCCTTTTGGCTTTTGGGCACAATGCGAATGGTAAGAATTCAGGGGACTCGACTGGCCGCTTCAATTCAGTAACCTCTTGAAAATTGGGGCTTCTAAAATGTTTTTCTTTTTCTAGCACTCAGCTACAGGAGTGGAAGCTCCAGCGGCATTAGGCCTCTCTTTGGGAAACCCACAATGAACTCTCAGCAGCTACCAAAAAAATCCAATGCAAATGGCATCTTCTGGACCCAAGCTGAAAACTGGGTCCCTCCACAAAGTGGAGAAAGCATTGAGTTGGGTATTGCCTCAAGTAGTGCAATTATTATGCAATCTGGTCCTCCGCCCTCTAATCCCCAGCAGCCCGACTACCAGCCATCTACTTTTGATCCGACCTACCAGCCGAACCAGCCCAGCCCCCACAAACCAACCACTCTCCATCAGGTCTACCAGCAGAATTGGCCGAGGCCCCAACAGCCCACTTTCGATGGTTACTGGCCGAGGCCCCAGCAGCCGCCCCCGAGGCCCCAGCAGCCCACTTTCAATGACGGTTACCGGCCGAGGCCCCAGCAGCCCCAACACCCCACTTTCGATGATGGTTACCGACCGAGGCCCCAGCAGCCCACTTTCGATGATGGTTACCGGCCGAGGCCCCAGCAGCCGCCCCAGAGGCCCCAGCAGCCCACTTTCGATGACGGTTACCGGCCGAGGCCCCAGCAGCCGCCCCAGCAGCCGCCCCAGAGGCCCCAGCAGCCCACTTTCGATGATGGTTACCGGCCGAGGCCCCAGCAGCCGCCCCAGAGGCCCCAGCAGCCGCCCCAGAGGCCCCAGCAGCCGCCCCAGAGGCCCCAGCAGCCCACTTTCGATGATGGTTACCGGCCGAGGCCCCAGCAGCCGCCCCAGAGGCCCCAGCAGCCGCCCCAGAGGCCCCAGCAGCCCACTTTCGATGATGGTTACCGGCCGAGGCCCCAGCAGCCGCCCCCGAGGCCCCAGCAGCCGCCCTCCTTCAAGCGTGTCTCCCAACCACAGAAGCCCAAGCACCAGAAAGGAGTTATTCAAACCAAAGCTGGCATGTGGGACTTGTTTTCTGATTCTTTAGTCCAGCCTGCCAAATTGAATGTTGATCCAAGAAGGCCAATTTCAACGGCATTGCTGGACCATCCAAGGTGGTAGCCTCCACTGGTGCCTTTTGTAAAATGGAAAACATTGACCTTATGGCAAGTTTTGGCTTTAAATTACTGTTTTAAATGAGAATTTGCTTCTGTTGAGATGAATGCATTGCTAATTTGCATAATTCTGTTCACAGGTTCCTGGTTATTTTCTCAAAGTAGTTTGTCCTGGCATCTTTCTAAAATTCAATAAAGTACTACCGCACAGTCTGCCATGACTATTAATTGGACTTTTGCAAAGGTACCTAAATGTGTGACTAGATGCCTTTCCACAGTATCTCAATGTAGTGTTTTTAATGTTTCCTCAGTTGTCACTGATCAATCCTACTTGTTTTGGGTAAAAAGATTCATACCAGCTGCTGAGAGCTTTACCTAAACCCACTAGTGTTGGTGATCTCAAGGAAAGAGGCTTGGCGTAACTAGTCTGCAGCAGATTAAGCATGCGTCTGCTTGCTAACACAATCAATCGTCCCTCGTTCGTGGCGCATAGACAACTTTGCCTCAGTTGGAGTCTTATTCTACCTGGGACTCACTGGAAGTGTAGTTTGAGGATGGAAAATATGTACTTTAAATTTTAACGTGACTGCAGTTTCTCAAATGACCAAGGGATTGGATGTACTCCGGTTCAATTTATTTTTGTACAGCCCCAAATTGCAAAGTTACCTCCGAGGGCTTTAGTCTGTACCCATGTGACATCCTCTGTCCCAAAACCCTCACATCAGCACTGAGAAACTCTGGAAAAACTGGGAAGAAACCTTGTCAGAGGAGGATCCCTCTTCTGATGGACAGACTACAATGGAGCAGAGACTACTGTAACTAAACTTGATGATCTGTAATATTTAAAATGATGGCAGCAGCGGGGCCATGGTAGGAGTCAGGACCAGGGTCCAGAAGGAACTACGATCTACCTGCTAGGGGAGAAAGCACAAAAAACTCCTGGGTAGAAGCTGAATTAGTGATGTGCATTAATACAAAGTGGATTATTGGAGAGTGAGAGGAGCTCTGCGTGTCCTAAGAAGTTCCCCGGCAGTCTAAGCCTACAGCAGCTTAACTATGTGAACCTTTGAGACCAGGAACAGCTTGTCGCACCCGTTGAATGAAGAAAAAGAGCCTGCTGTTCAGTTGATGCGTTTTAGACGTTTTGTAGCTTCAATATCAAGCAGCAAGGAAATACGTACAAGCATTTTTTTTTTTCTTCAACATCAAGCATCCTGAATAAAACTCGGCATATTTGAGCCCATTTTCTGCAAACTGCATGGCAACATTTACATCACAGGTCATTTAGCTGACGCTTTTATCCAAAGCATCTTACATCACACTTTAAACCCGTGGCTTTTTACATTTTTGCCCAGGGAGCAATTAGGGTCCAGGTGTCTTGCTCAGGGACACTTTGATTTGAGACATGGGGCAGCCGGGACTCAAACCACCAACCTCATGGTTCCCAGCGCACCCACTCTACCCCCTGCGCCACAACGACGACATGTTTGTCTTTACCACGATCACAGAAATTGTGTGAAACTATTTGAATAAAGGTTTTATCTTTAAAAAGAAGACTCACAACCAGCGGCGCCTTTGAACCGCTGCACTGGATCCCTCTTTGCTTTCTGCCTTTGGGCGCGGATGTGAATGTCAATGATAAATACTGATAATGCAGAGACCTCATGATGAGACCCGTGACCTGACTTTAACGTGGTGCGAATCAACAGCTCCCTGTCTTCTCCCACATCTCCCCCCCTTGTCCCCCTCTCTCTGATAGCTGTTATTAGTTTAGTCCTCTCCTGTTTTGTAGACATAATGACACAGAGCTCTGGTTCTCTGTACATCGGTTTGTGCCCTGTCATTAAGCAGCCAGTCCGTGTGGTTAAAAGGACGCAGCTCCACCATCTGATCCCAGATCTTCCTCCAGCCACTGGAGCTCCGGCTCGGGGCCGAAGGTCTGCAGGTCTCCTCTGTGAGCGGTAGTGGAAACGCCTGAGTCCTATAGGATGACATCGTTGTGAGAGCATTTAGTTCAGTTTGATGGGTGACAGAAAGCTGAGAGGCATAATGGTGCTAATGAGGGCGCATAGAATCAGAAACGACAATGTCTGATTGTGGCAAACTCAGCTCACTCATTCACACATATCACTTTTAGCTAAAAGTACACGGGAAACTGATTTTAGTTCAATTTAAAATGACTGGAAATTGTTCTACTCTCAGCCTAAAATATGAATATATATCAGAGTCAAGCACAAGAGGTTGCTAAGCAACGGGGGCGAATGAGGAAAAGCTAACGACGCAAGCAGGAAATCCCCACGCAGGCCGGACCGCCCCACTTCAGAGACCGCCTGGTTCAGCCTGAGGCTGTTGGAGGATCCGGCCCACGAAGACCACAAGGAGGCGTCCTCACAAGGATGCAGCCCAGCAAATGAGACACAGCTACTTGCTCTAGTCTCTAGGCTGCATCCTCGTAGCCTGCAGCCTTCGGTAGACCTACGCTGGTCCTCCAACAACCACATGGGCAGAACCGAACGGCCTCTGAAATTAAAACCCCAAAAACGTGTACAGTACAGATAAGGAAGATAAAGTTCTTCTTATTTCATTTAATTTAGGAAGATATACGTGATATATTTCAGGCTGAGAGAACATTTTGCAGTTATTTGAAATCAGTCAATGTGTAATACTTTACTAATTCATAATTACTTTCAGCTTACAGTAATATTGCAATCTTAAGGCAGAGGTTAGTTCATAACCACAAGAAAATAAGCAAAGCGAGTTCAGTGTCTTTGTGTATTTATCCTGTAACGTTACTGACTTAGAAAGTCATTCAGGTTCATAACTTGTCAGTAATAGTATATAAAAGCGTCTCAGCCTCAGTAAGGTTTTAGTCAGCCTCTACAGTTAAGTCATTAAAGTGACTTTTCACTGATGTGTCCTCCCCCGGAGGACTGCGTCCACTGTCTCCCTCCTCCGCCCGTCCTGGTGTCTCATCTGTACAGACCGGCTCACTGACATGGCCGCTAGGTGGCGGTGTAGTTTTACACTCACAGTCACCGCGTGAAGGCCTCATATGTCCTGGGGTCAAAACACGTGACCATGTGAAAACAACACATATAAAATGTCTTTATAAAAGTCCTGACTTTGTAGTTCCAACAATCTTTTCATACATTTTGAAAAACATTAAAAGTTTGAATCCGTTTGTCATATTATTATTATTATTATTTGTAATCGTTCCATCCTTCCCAACACAACTGATATTTTATTATTATCCAATACACATACATATTAATATATATATATTAATAATACAATATATATAGTTGTGCTGTTTTTTGTAGCTCATGTGGATTCCCTCCTGTGTTCATAATCTTTATAATAATCTTTATTCCCACTAAGAAAAGGTCCCTGTCGGTGGAGGGCGGGGCCGAGCGGACGCGCGTCCACGTATCTCCCGGCGCGTCCCCGAGAGCCGGAGCCAGTGGAGCAGCTCGCCGCCGTTTCCCGCAGTCTCCTGCCCGCGCCGACATGCGTCTCCCCCCGCGGACATGTCCTCCGTCTGCCGCGAGCGGGAACTGACCGCCGGCCCGGCCGCTGCTCGTGTCCGCGTCCTGGTGCCCCGCAGCCGGGGGAACCCTGCAGCGCGACTGTGAGCCCGTCCCACAGACCCCCACCTCCCCCACCCACCCACCACCTCCACCCCCCCCGCCGCGCCTTTCTTTGATTGCCTCGTTTACGGAGCGCAGGAGCGCCCGGTGAGACGGTGCTGAGGGGGCAGGTCGCGCGGACGCAGCTGAAGATGGAGACGGCGATGGAGAGGGAGTGCAGCGCGCTGGGGGGGCTTTTCCAGACCGTCATAGGAGACATGAAGGTAACGTGAAAACACACCAGCGGAACACGGAGCAGACTGGCTGGTTTTTGTCATCCCCATTAATTAGCTAATTCTCTTGGAGGGGGGTGGAGGAAGAGGGTGGGGGTCTGATGGTGGGTGTCCCTGCAGTGGTCCTGCCCTACACCTGCTTACTACTCGCAATTATTTGAATCATTTCTGTGATAGGAATTAAATGTGCTGTTCATCTTCTACATGACATCATGTAGTGTGTCCATCAGGAGACGGATCCTCTGACGCATGAAAGGCTCCATCCTGCTAATCCACAAACATCTGTGTTCTGTTCAATTAACAGTTCAGCATTTCTAAATTCATCAAAACGGCAACAGTTGTAAAAAGGCAGTTTTAAAAAGTAATTTTGTATGTCAGCAAAAAAAATGTTTTCCCCTTTTAGGAATCATGATGAAGGAAATCTCATCATTGGATAATCTGATTAAATCTCTCCAGAATGATCTGCTCGATATTTGAAATGTGAGCATCTAAACACGCACACACACACACACATATATATATATATATATATATATATATATATATATATATATATATATTAGAGAATGAACTGTGAAGTCCCCCCTCCCAACACACACGCACACGCGTGTTACCGTGGTGACGTCATAACAGACGGATGGGTTGTAACAGGTGTGGGGGGGTCTGCTTTACAAATGGAGGTCCTCCTCTCCTCTCACGTGTCTCCTCCTCCCCCGTTGCCCTTCATCTCCTCCTCCACCTCCCCTTGTCCCTCCCCTCCCGTCCTCGTCTCCCGTGGGTCTGTTCCCGTTTAGTTACGAGCATCGAACTCTTCCTCGCGTTGGGTTTCATGGCTGCTGCATCACCAATGTGAAAGCTGCTTTTAATGTTTTATTCGAGTTATTTAAAGAATAAGGGGCTTGACTTACGCTATATGTTTATTCTATAACACGTCTGATGAAAAGACTAAAACGTGTTCGTCATTCAGCGTTATTGTATGTTCTAATAACGGGTTTGACAAACAGGAAAGTGTAAGGGTCAAAGGGTCAAACCTCTACAGGAGGCCGCAGGTTGCTTCGTAGCTTTCACTTAGTACGTATTACGTAAACCATTTACTCTCACCAGAGAAGAGTCCCATGTTTCACTCAACAGGTGGAAGTAGTGCTTTTGTCGGAGACTACCTTCAGCATTTTGTGTTGAGTATTTGTGGCAGGACGGTTTATGTGTGAGTGAGTCTAAATGTGTGTGTGTGTGTGTGTGTGTGTGTGGTGATTAAATGCTGTGTTTTAACTGGTTTTCAGACACACATGAAGTTATAAAACGTATTTCAAAGAACATAGAAAATGGAATTCCCATCTGTGTGATGGCAGACTGTTGCTTCTCACAGCCGGATGTTTGATTTCTGCAGCGTCAGACAGCAGCTTGTTAGCGTTAGCTTGTTAGCTTGTTAGCGTGTCAGCGTGAGCGAGTGCAGGAGGAGACTCCGGTCTGCTGGTTCTGGATTCGTTAGTCGGTCCTACATCATTTATTCGTTTGTTCACTACGGGTTTGAAGACTCAAGTTTTTTGTTCTGACCGTCACCATCTTGGTTTTTGCAACCAGGAAATGGAAGTGACCCTTTAGTAGTGGTGGCAACCTGTCAATCAATGTGTAGCCCCGCCCTAAAGCCTACCATGCTTATGGTCTGTTTGGCTATAGATGGACCATAATTCAGTGAAAGAACATCACGCTGTACTGAAGAAGACTTGAAACTAGAGATTGAGACCATAAACCCATAGCGGTAATTTCCTCATAGACGTCTATGGGAGCAGAGGAGTCGCCCCCTGCTGGTCACTACAGAGAAGTAGAGTCATTTCCTCATAGACGTCTATGGGAGCAGAGGAGTCGCCCCCTGCTGGTCACTACAGAGAAGTAGAGTCATTTCCTCATAGACGTCTATGGGAGCAGAGGAGTCGCCCCCTGCTGGTCACTACAGAGAAGTAGAGTCATTTCCTCATAGACGTCTATGGGAGCAGAGGAGTCGCCCCCTGCTGGTCACTACAGAGAAGTAGAGTCATTTCCTCATAGACGTCTATGGGAGCAGAGGAGTCGCCCCCTGCTGGTCACTACAGAGAAGTAGAGTCATTTCCTCATAGACGTCTATGGGAGCAGAGGAGTCGCCCCCTGCTGGTCACTACAGAGAAGTAGAGTCATTTCCTCATAGACGTCTATGGGAGCAGAGGAGTCGCCCCCTGCTGGTCACTACAGAGAAGTAGAGTCATTTCCTCATAGACGTCTATGGGAGCAGAGGAGTCGCCCCCTGCTGGTCACTACAGAGAAGTAGAGTCATTTCCTCATAGACGTCTATGGGAGCAGAGGAGTCGCCCCCTGCTGGTCACTACAGAGAAGTAGAGTCATTTCCTCATAGACGTCTATGGGAGCAGAGGAGTCGCCCCCTGCTGGTCACTACAGAGAAGTAGAGTCATTTCCTCATAGACGTCTATGGGAGCAGAGGAGTCGCCCCCTGCTGGTCACTACAGAGAAGTAGAGTCATTTCCTCATAGACGTCTATGGGCGCAGAGTAGTCGCCCCCTGCTGGTCACTACACAGAATGCAGCAGTCAGACACTTAAGGCCTTGAGCCCAGTTTAGCGACGCAGCCTCCTGCAGCAGCAGGCTGTGATTGGTCTCTAACTACGTCCTTTACGGAGTCTCACGTCTCCGTTTTCACAGCACAATACGGCCGTTATTAAAAGGAAGAACGTTTACGAGAGAACGGATCAGATTGAAGAGCTTTTAAATATGAGCGCTTGTACAAGCCGTCATTGGCGGACTATGAGGACGCCGGATGGCCTCTGATTCATGGAGGGAGATCTCCACAAACGAGGGGGACAAAGTCGTGGAGGAAAATACGGGACAAATGTGTCCTTGATGAAGAGCAGCAGTGTGGATGCACGGGGCAATAAAGTCTATGATACATAAATAAACAAACAAATAAATAGACGTGACTCTCCAGGTCGTCTTCAACAAAACACGTGACTCCACCTGTTGTTCTGGAGGTGAATCGCTCTGCAACACACGCAGGACTTTACAACCAGGAAGTGAAACCAGAGCGTCGACGCGTAAAGACGCAGAAACACGCGGCGGCCTTTAGCTTCATTTTCATGCCCGCTTGTCACGGTTGAACTGATTAGAATTTCTTCACACAACCCGTTTTTAATCATAACAATTGATAACTAGGTGATATAAGCCTAGAAGCTGACCTTAAGTCGTCGCTGGTCGGTTACTTAAATAAATACTGTGCATACGTGAGTGCGTCTGTGTTGCTCATCCACACATCCCTGCGCTGCTGGTTGAGTCCTCCACTTATTACCGCTGATCCGTTTAGCTGGAACCGATCTGCACGTTCCTCCCGGAGGAGAACCGTCCGCCTTCATTCTGTTATCCCCTCGTTGAACAGAAACCGACGTGACGGTTTGGTAACATCTCCACACTGCAACATGAGATTACATCATCGATACTGTCAGTCTGATTGGACCACAGGAAGAGGATCTGAGCCTCATGAATAACTAAACGAATGCATTAGTTCTTTAAGACTCGAGGGCCCAGCAGGTTGTTCCAGGTTGGCTTGGTACTGAGAGAAGGATCAGCCCAGATGGGCGGAAATCAGAAGGATGGACTCGTCATTTTCTGAGCGATTTCACTGCAGTTCATTGTGTATTGATGCGACTTCTGGTTCCGGTCCGGCTCACAATACGCTTGCCGCCCACAAAGCATCCTGGGACGAACGCAGACCTCCTGCGAGAGTCTGGCTGATAGACAGGAAGTGTGCTGCAGTGTAAACCTCCCAGCGTATTAGCTGAATGCTAATCGCCGTTTATCTGCGACCGAGCCGTCGTCCTAATCTCCCCGGGGGCTGAAGCGATCCTGCGCTCGCTTCCCGTTTCTTTGTGCGGGCGGCTGGCTGCTGCGTATCCGCGTCGCCATGGAAACCCCACAGACGGAGCTGCCGCATTGGCTTTGGCCAAATGGGTCCCTCTGTTGTTTGTGGTTTGTTTTAAGCGACTAATCCACCATAGCCGTAGGACTATGGCAACTATTCACTCCCACTAAGTCCTGATCTGCAGGAGATAAAGTAATAATAACATTTCGTTACGATGATTGTGCTAATAGTTACATGGGCAACATCCATTCAATAACCGTAGAGTGGAAGGTTAGCTCTGAAGCTACGCTGAGCAGCCTGTTAGCTTAGCATGATGTACCAGCGGGTCATAGCTCTGTCTGAAAAGAACCACATCCACCTAGATGTTATAAGAAGTATATAACACCTCGTTATATATGCATGACCTCGATTGGTCACTAAAGGTGACCGGGCCTTTGTGCTCGGGGCCCTAAACTGTGGAACTCGCTTCCCTGCAAACTGAGACAGACAAATTCCTCTTTTAAATCTCTTCTAAAGACTCACTTTTACCAGCTGGCTTATTTATACATTTGACGGATTTAATCTTATTTATTATAAACGGCTTGATTGTATTTTGTAAAACTCACGTGCGTATTGTTAAGCACTTTGTAACTTTGTTCTGAGAGCTGCCGTGTAAACACAAGTTATTATCAGCACACATTCCTCCGGTGACGAATCCTCAGGCGTAATGGCCACAGTAACTAACCGGTATGGGGAAGTTTAAAGAATAAGATTTGGGTTTCTATCTCACAAGATGACGATGATGAAACAGAATCAAAGAGAGGAGGATTCCCGCAGGACCGGCGGGCTGCCTCCTCCGGTTGTTGCCACGGTGACAATTTATGTCCTCGGTGACTGATTGATGCAGCGGCCCTCGCCATCGCCGCGCCGGAGACAGAGGGGGGGATGTTGTGAGACGCGCAGCGAGACGGACATGACAGGAAAAAGAGAATTGCAAGTAAAACGGTTCGGTCCAATTCGAAAGATTGGTTGAGAGGGAAACCAAACCGACTGAAGATGTGCGTTCTTCGGTGAGGACTCGTGCATCTCCTCCTCTGAAGTCCCCTCCTGCAGCAGCAGCATCGTTACCATAGCAACGGGAGCCGGGCGATGGCGCCGGGCACGGCACTCCCCGTCGGATCGAAGCTGAACACTTGGCTCGGCTCGGCTCGGCCTGGGTCTGCGCCCGCGTTGGGAGAGCAATGGCGGTGATGACAAAGGGCGACGCCCACAAAGTACTGAAGAACCGCGGGTGTTCAACACCTCTTTGAACGGGACGTGAAATACAACCAGTAACTTACAGAGGACATTTTGCATTAAAATAGGCTCCAGGAAGCCGAGTCCTTCAACACAGATGTAAATGTGTAAATGTTTGTCCTGCTCTGGACGTCATGGGGGCGGGCGGGCGCATGCGGCGCCGGACTGATCCGTCTCCTTATCGTGTGCTGCATCTTTGCTGCATGCGATGCTCAGGATCTATGCAAACATTTTGACGTATGCGCGCTAATTTAACCAGTACGGAAGGAAAAGAATACTTGCATTCTAACTGTAGTGGTGTCGTGTTTTCGAGGGGTCGAGCCCCATAACTGACCTGATGCGTGACCTTAGCGAATGAACAAATCCACGTTATTTGAAACCACCACGAATCTTCCTCAATAATAAGACTGACTGTCTCGTTGTGTCCTCAGGGCAGTTATCCTGTGTGGGACGACTTCATCAGCAAAGCCAGCAAGCTGCAGGCGCAGCTCAGGTGAGTCAAACCCGCGAAGGTGTCTGATCTCCTCCGGGGGCCACAACGGTAAATCAGGCCTGGTCCGTTTCCCGTGTCCCTCCTCCTCTGTAACGATGCCGCAATCAATTGTCAAAGCTGCCGCTCTGACGAGCAAAGCGTTAAAATGCAAACGCGTGCACAGAAGAAGGAACGCACGCCGGCTCAGCTCATGAAGATCCCATCAGGTGTTTGAATGTCAGCCTCAGACGCACACACACATACCAACACACAAAGTGCACAAAGAAACCGCAAAAACACACTTAATTCAGCAATAACACACACACACGCACACACACACACACACACATCTCAATTAACCTTGCGTGTGGCTGTCAGAGATGAATGACGCCTCCATAAAGTCGTTATCAGTGCGATGGATCGGCAGCGGCCTCCAGAGGTTCTGCACGGGGCCGGAGGTCACCAGAGGTCACCAGAGGTCACAGCTTATTACAAACCCTAACAAACACACACGCGTCTGATGTTGCCATATTGTCACTCAGTGCTTTTTGTCTACTGTGAAAAGCTGTTTGAAAACACAATTTCATTGGTTTCAGTTCAGTGTGACATTAAAAACAATCTAATTTCAACTCACCTGTTTAAACAGTGTCGCCCGATGTTGGCTGGATTGAGTCCGGCCCCCCGCGACCCCGTGTGCAGGATAAACTGAATAGATGTTCTTTATTTTCATAATCTGATAATAATCTAAATATTAAAGCACTAACGCACTAAGATGATGCGTCACAGACGGATTTTCTTTTTTTAGATGGTCCTTCTTAAGATTTCTTCTCATCCAAACCTGTTTTACTCTGTCGCGTCTCCCAGGACGACGGTCGTCGCGGTAGCAGCCTTCCTGGACGCCTTCCAGAAGGTCGCCGACGTGGCGACCAGCAGTCGAGGTAGAGTGTGTGTGTGTGTGTGTGTGTGTTCTTCTCTTTAAGCTGCTTTCTGATCAGACATCTGATTTAATAATAATAATTTAAGCTGGAAGAAGCTTAAAGTTTGGACATTTGTTTTTGGAGGCGGAGCCTGTTTCTGGTACTTTGTTAAGTTTCTGTTATTTCTTCTTGTAACGACATCATCCAGACGGCCTCGTTGACAGATGATGACAGACTCTGAGGTCTCATTGATCCGTGTTGTTGTTGTTGTTGTTGTTGTTGGGAAGCAGTTGGCAGTTGGCTTTCTATGGATTCTTTTACGTTTCCACTGTGGATAAATGAGCCGGCTGTAAACGTCGATAGAGGTCACTTCCTGTGACGATCCAATGAAGCAGACGCTTGTGACAACCAGTCCAAGTTACTCCTGCTCTCCATGGATCCCGTCTACTTCTCTGTGTGTGTGTGTGTGTGTGTCTGTGTGTGTGTGTGTGTGTGATGTCGGCCAACTTCCTGTCTGGTTGACTCGCTGTCACATTGACCACAGTAGCGGAGCCATCAGTCAAAGCCGCTCTGTGATTGACTCTGTGATTGACTGTGTGTGTGTGTGTGTGTGTGTGTGTGTGTGTGTGTGTGTGGCTGGTACTCCTATTGGTTTATTGCAGCAACTCTATTTCATTTCTATTTTCTATTTCATCAGGCATCAGCTTGTCATGTTTGATTTTAGGCAACCATTTCTAATTTCTCAAATCAAATCATGCTACAGAACCAAAAGTTGCTGTATTTCTACATATGACGCAATTTATTTGGATGCCATCGACATCATCATGAACCAGGAAATACACCCAGCCGGTGGCGGGTTCATTGTTAAAGAAAGGTGTCATTTGACAGCTGATAGCGATCGTTTGCTCTGATATTGCAAATGGGTTATTATTCACGATATGAGAAGCAATGCTGACTTTTACATCCTTATTCTCTTATTCAAATGAAAGAATAGGATCTGCAGCCCGGGACACAAATCTCAATATAACGATATCTTGCCACACATTTCAGCTTAGAGAGAGAGAGACATAGAGGGACATAGAGGGACGTAGAGAGAGAGACATAGAGGGACATAGAGAGAGAGAGACATAGAGGGACATAGAGAGAGAGACATAGAGGGACATAGAGAGAGAGAGAGACATAGAGGGACATAGAGAGAGAGAGAGAGAGAGACATAGAGGGACATAGAGGGACATAGAGAGAGAGGGACATAGAGAGAGAGAGACATAGAGGGACATAGAGGGAGAGAGAGACATAGAGGGACATAGAGAGAGAGAGAGAGAGAGACATAGAGGGACATAGAGCGACATAGAGGGGTAACGTTATCAAGTTAGAGACGTGAGTATTGACCCTCTCGTGAGCTTCAGATGACAGTTTCCCAATTCCAGCCATGTCAGCTAAGCCACAAGTTAGCTGTTAGCTGACGTTAGCTGCAGAAACTAGGCTAACGTTAGCTAGTGTCTACGTAAAAGGAGGAGAGTATTTATTAAATTGCACAAGTTTGTTCTCACCTCATTCAGAGACTCATTCATACTGCATTTATTCATAAAAACATGCAGAAAATGGATTTAGTTGATAGTATTTTCTAATTCATGGGGTTAAATAACGACATATTTAAAATCCCTTGAGTAAAAACATTTGACTGTAATATATTTTGAACCTGTCTCCATCACATTTTGACATTTACGTTCTGGAAATGTATTTAAATTTGAACACATTTAATTTGATTATGCCTCATTTGATCAGTTCAACTTTAAATATTTAATACATTTGCTTTGTGTGTGTGTGTGTGTGTGTGTGTGTGTGTGTGTGTGTGTGTGTGTGTGTGTGTGTGTGTGTGTGCGCTGTGTCAGGCCACAGTTACCGTAGCAACCTGCTGCCGAGGAGAATTACGTGCTAAAGGGCCAATGAGCCCCTTCATGTCGCCACCTGGTAACTCTGACCGAGGTGAAGGACGAGGAGGAGATGAGGGAGCAAGTGGAAAGGGAGGAGAGGAAGCTTAGGGAGAGGAGGACGAGGAGGGGTGAGATAAAGGGCAGAAAAGACAAAGTAGATGGAAGATTGTGGAAGGAAAGGTGAGATTGTGTGAGGGAGGGATGGAAAAGAAGAAGAGGAGGAGATGATTGGGGGAGAAGAGGAGGCCGGTTAGATGAAACATTTTACCACCAAAGACAAGCGAGTCCTCCTTCAGAGCCGGCGGTGGATCCCTGACGGCTTCATCCTCCGGTGCCGCGCGTTCTCTCACTAGAGGGCCAGATGTTCCCAGCATGCCGCGGTGAAGCTGCGGTGAAGGAGGAAAGGACCTCAGCTTCTCTGAGCTTGTTTTCACTGTGTTTCCACGCACGGAACTCGCAGTGAGGGCATTAAGTATTACGTGCGGATGGAGAGGTCAGAGGTCGCAGCATAGCTTTCATATTCCTGTGTGTTCAAACAAGCGACGAAGAAAGAAACTAGAAGAAAGAAATGAGGGATTTGCGTTTTACATTTAGATTTCCATAACTGGACATGAATCATAGATCAATAATTAACGGTTCAGGTCAGGAAATATCTCTGAATTAGAAAATGAAAGTGATCTTTGCCCTCGTTCATATTTTATTTGTTAGTTTTTCATACATTCACGTGTTAAAGATTGATGGCGTCAGCAGGCAGGACAAGAACTAAGCAAATAAATCTAACGTATTTACCTGGAATTTACAAAACAACCACATTGGTGATGAATATGAGCCCAGATCATCTGCTTATTCCTCACTATGAGTCTCCATTCTCTCCACGTACACACCAGCTCTGTGTGAGCCAGGGGGTGCGTTTGAATTATCAACCCGGGGCGCCCAGCCGCCGCGCGTGTTCTTTTCATCCTCTGCACAAACGGCTCCTAATTAGTGGCGAGGCCCCACCCCTCCGGAGGGGAGCGTGAGAGGGAATAATCAAGCGCTCCCTCTGCAGGCCTGGACTCAGCCTGTGTGCAGGTCTCTGTGGAGGAACACCAGGAAGAACCACCCCCCCCCCAGACCCCCATTGTAACACGAGGTTAATTCATGTAGGGTTTTAGTCTCCACCTTCATGCTTCTTCTTAGGAAATCAGTCCAGAACTGATATGATCTGACAATAAAAGCGACCAAATCAAGAAGAGGGAAGACTGGAATAAATATTATTATCTGAAGCACGTGAATTAAACTCAAGAATCCACCCAGACTGATAAAGATAGATGTTTGCAATGACGGCCTTCACGCTGACTCTAAATGTTCTCTGTGTTGTTATTACCAACGAGCTTCACCAACATGTCTCCACTCTCTGTTTGTGCCGCTTGTGAACCAGACGATCGTTTCACCCGAGCGACGCGTGAAGTCATCTGATCTGATCCCACGTGGGGAAAGCTAAGAAAAGACATCTGAGGTCCGTCACAGCGGACGAGGTCTCCTCCATCGCTGCCTGGTTTTGTGTCTTGTAGCTGCAGGGAGGGGGACACCTGGGGGGCTTTATTGTGGGGAGCGGAAGGGAAAAGAGAGAAGAAGAAGAAGAAGGGATGAGATACAGCAGTTAGGATGTAGAAGAAAACAGGATGGTGGTTTTTTATTTAATCTAAAGACTCTGAAGTCATCTTTAAAAACACTGGATCCTTCTGTGATGGATTTAAATATTCCCTTTTACCCCGAAACACACGCGTTCTGATTGGCTGAGCTATCAGTTACTGATCACGTGACGTCAAACAGTCCAGAGATGCCTTCTGAGGGTGTGTGTGTGTGTGTGTGTGTGTGGGGGTCCGGTACAGTCTTTGGATTCTTTAGATAGCATCCTGGGAATGTCTCCCCTCTCCTGTTACGTCCTTCATCAGTTGGCTGCTGTTTGGACTTTTACCATCACGTCCGTCCTCGAGACACCACGTCACGTTCAAAGGGTCCAACGTCTCACTGGTTAGAATAAACCGCTTTCTATAATCTGACCTAAAGGTCTTCATTTTGGATAGGACTTCTCTATCTAATGATCAAAGGCAATTAGACACTTATACTTTAGGGATTCTCATCACATCACATGTCATTTATCTGACGCTTTTATCCAAAGCGACTTACAAACATTTCAACCATAAGGACACAAACTCAAGAACAAGAAACAAGAAAGTGCAATTTCATCAAATAATGGACAACTTGCTGTAGATAAGAACCATTATAAATCCAATGTAAGTGCTGCAGGTAGTTAGTGTGTTAGTGGAGGTAGAGTCTGAAGAGGTGTGTCTTTAGTCTGAAGATGTGAAGGCTCTCTGTGGTCCTGATGTCTTCAGAGACCTCCTTCCACCATTTAGGAGCAGGACAGCAAAGAGTGGAGATCTAGTGGAGTGTTTTGCTCTCAGTGAGGAGGAACAAGCAGTTTATCACATGCAGAGCGGAGAGTGCGGGTCGGGATGTCGGGTTGGACCAGGTCCTGGATGGAAGCTGGACCCCATCCATTCACAGCATGGTACGTGAGTACCAGTGTTTAGAACTGGATGAGCCACCGGTACCAGTGAAGAGAGCGGAGGAGTGGAGGAGTGAGGGAGGGATTCTGGATGAGCTGCAGAGGCTGAATGGTGGTAGCAGGAGACCTGCAGGAGAGAGTTACAGTAGTCCAGGAGGGAGACGACAAGAGCCTGAATCAGTACCTCCTTCTGAGTGAGAAGAGGACGTGTTCTCCTGATGTTGTAGAGCGAGTAGCTACAGGATGGTGTTGTCAGTGATGTTGGAGTCAGGGAGAGTCGGCTGTCGACGTCACGCCGAGCTTCCTGCAGTCAAAGTGGACGTTAACACCTGTGAAGGAGAATCTTTCCCCAGAAAGAGAAGTAGTTTTATCTGGTCTCAGGGAGCAAACACATTATTAAAAATGAGCACTCAGCCGCCCCGAAGACGCCCATATTAATAAAGGCTTAGTTTAAACAAAACATGTAAAATCAATTTTATAATATTATTTTTCCCACAGAAATCAGCGTTTCTTTTTGTTTCTCTTTATTAACAACATCAATCCTGGTTATTCCTCCTCCTCCTAAAATAAACACCACACACAGAGCATTACCTTTACCTTTACCTTTACCTTTACCATTACCTTTACCTTTACCATTACCGATGGGAAACTGAGTTTATCAATACATTATAGTTATACAAGTAGGACAAACCTTCAGATATACAAATGTATGGAATCAAATACTAAGAGTTGTATATAAGAGGATTTTTTTTACCTCTATAAAGATTAGATGCTCGAGGCTGAGGTCGCTCTGTTGGGTGAGAGGGGGGAGGACCATCTGCTGCTCTGCCCGAGTGTCCTTGAGCAAGGGACACACTCGGCTGCTGTCCCCTGAAGGCGACCTCTGACCTCTGACCCTTTTAACCCCGACAGAAAGCTGTCCCCAAAGCACACCTTCCATGTTTGTAGTTTGTGGGCCTCGTCATCAGGTGGACAAAGGAACTCTGAGAGTTTTTTGTTTCCGTCTCAGGAGGAACCAGAGACATCGGCTCGGCCCTCACCAGGATGTGCATGAGGCACCGCGGCATCGAGGCCAAGCTGCGCCAGTTCTCCATGTGAGTCCCTCCTGTGTGTGTGTGTGTGTGCGCGCTGAGCAGGTGTAGCATCTCCCCCCTGCCATCTCCATGGCAACCAGCTCCTCCTCCCCCCTCCTGCTTCAGCTTCCTGTCCTCCATCTCATCAGCCACATTATCACGGCCTCCTTTTCCCCTCCTTCTCTTTTACTTTGTCCTCAAACCCGAATCCAAATAAATACAGTTTTTTTACAGTCAATTTGCCGCTAATTTCAGAACCTTGATGCCATTTTTCAAAACTCTTGATGCTAAACTCACAACCAATGATCAAATTGCCTGTTTTTAAAAACACTTTTTTTCAATTGCTTGGATACAATAACAACAAACACAAATTCCTTGTATGTTTGACATATTTTGGCAATAAATGTTTCCTGATTCCTGATTCCTGATCCTGACAAAAACCAAAGCTCATTTGTTCATTGAACTAAAATCACCTGTTCAATGTGACTCAATGTGACATCAAAGTACTATTTCAAAATGCAAATCCTACGTTACGGTTGAAAAGATGGTCCATTCATTTGATTACAGTCATCTAACTATCAACAGATAGAACATCTCATCATGAGGAGGATTTGCTGCATAAACCTTAGTAGATAGTTTCATGGATGCTGACAAACAATTAATATCACGAGATTTCAAAATGATGAGATCCATTTACACCAATTAGCCTGGAACAGCATCAAGGTTCTGACATTAGCGGAAAAGTGATTGTAAAAAACTGAAGTGTGTAGCGAGTGTGTCACTGTGTGTGTCTGTGTCACTGTGTGTGTCTGTGTGTCTCACTGTGTGTGTCTGTGTGCGTCGGTAGGGTGTTCCTGGACTGTCTGATCAACCCTCTGCAGGAGCAGACGGAGGAGTGGAAGAGAGTCGCCAACACTCTGGACAAAGACCACGCCAAAGGTACACAACACTGTGTACACAGACACACACAGACACACACGGGCAGCGAATGAAAGCGGACACCACGAGGTTTGTGTGCATGCTGTGTGGCTGCATATATAACCACAAACACGTCTCTAAAGTGTCTCTGCACGCCTTACGCTGTGTGTTCATCTGTACCTGCACACGTGTGTGTGTGTGTTCATCTGTACCTGCACACGTGTGTTTATTCTGCAGAGTACAAGAAGGCGCGTCAGGAGATCAAGAAGAGATCTTCAGACACTCTGAAGCTGCAGAAGAAAGCAAAGAAAGGTCTGCATTCTTTTCCTGCTTTGATTGTGAGAGTTTACTCAAACCTGTTTTTAATAACAGTTTGGTGTGAGTGAGTAGTGCTTTTATTGTGGTGCTCATGGTTAAATCAGTCCGTGCTTTTATTGTGGTGCTCATGGTTAAGTCAGGCCGTGCTTTTATTGTGGTGCTCATGGTTAAATCAGGTCGTGCTTTTATTGTGGTGCTCATGGTTAAGTCAGGCCGTGCTTTTATTGTGGTGCTCATGGTTAAGTCAGGTTGTGCTTTTATTGTGGTACCCAGGGTTAAATCAGGTCATGCTTTTATTGTGGTGCTCATGGTTAAATTAGGTTGTGCTTTTATTGTGGTGCTCATGGTTAAATTATGTTGTGCTTTTATTGTGGTGCTCATCATCATTGGGGTAATGGAGTGATGGACGGTCCCTGTTTATCTAGAAAAGTGTTATTAAATTCTCCATTTCTGATACAACTAATGCAAAGCAGCATCTACCATCACGGCTCCCTTTAAACTAAGCCACGCCCCCAATCTGCCTGCAGCTCCTCACAGGAAGCTGATTGATCGATACTCTGTTTCTTAACTTTGAAATGAAGGCGGGAATATTAGTCTATCTGACCATGGATTACTATAGATTAATACACCCAGCAGACTTTACGTAGTTCAAATGAGCTTCAGCTTGCCGTGAACGCATTAATGCATTCATAATTATAATCCGATAATAAATTATTATTGTAAATATTTTTTGTTGTATAAAGTTGTGCAATTTTCCACTTCTTAAGAGACTTAAACATTTTTTCTGCCTTCTCCTCGTGATGTCCCATCATGCACTGCTCTCTGGCCAGCTGACGTTTTTGGTAAGTCTCTTCTCACCTCTTGTGTGTTGTGTAGATTTCCAGACTCGAGGATCGTTGTGTGGTGACGGCCCCTCGTTGTTGGGATGTTTGTGGGCGGAGCTTCTTTCATGTTACCACAGACATCTCAGTGTCTCCACGGTTAACTCACGTGTTTTACATGTATGTACATGTATCGATCCATCCATCCCGTGTGTGTGTGTGTGTATGTGCGTCCAGGCCGCGGGGACCTCCAGCCTCAGCTGGACAGCGCCATGCAGGAGGTCAGCGATAAGTTCCTCCTGCTGGAGGAGACGGAGAAGCAGGCGGTGCGGAAGGCCCTGGTGGAGGAGAGGAGCCGCTTCTGCTGCTTCGCCTCCATGCTGAAGCCCGTCGTGGTCAGTCAACAGCCCACCTTTCTTTCCGTGAAGAGGGTCCTGGTTGCAGACTTGTGAGCCGCTCGGTGTGTTTGTGTGCGCTCAGGAGGAGGAGATGTCCATGCTGGGGGAGATCACTCACCTCCGGACCCTCACCGACGACCTGAAGACCCTGACCATGGACCCTCACAAGCTGCCGGCCTCCAGCGAGCAGGTACGAGCACGCCGTCCACCCGGGGGTCAGCTGACCGGGGAGCAACTTCCAAACTGTCCGTCCTCCGGCCCTCTGCAGGTGATCGTGGACCTGAAGGCCTCCGAGTGCACCTGGTCCTATCAGACTCCGCCCTCGTCACCGAGCACCACCGTATCCAGGAAGTCCAGCATGTGCAGGTTGGTTGCCACGGCCACAGAGTTACCCGTTAGCTAAGCAAACCTCCTCGTTCACCCGGTTTGTGCTCCGCTGCCCCCTGTGGTGCAGATGTGGAACTGCAGCGTCGTCCTTTAGACTCTGAGAGCTTTGATGTATTTGTACTATCATCTTTTCTTTGTATTAGTATCACAGGGGAGGGGGGAGTTGATCTAAAAACACCAGAAACAGATCTGAGGAGGAAGAGAGGAAGATGTAGAGCTAATCGCTTCACCTCTCACCTCCTTCCCTCCCTCTCTTCTCCATCTCTTCCCGCTCTGCCCTCCACCTGCTTTCTCCCTCCCGCTCTCCTCCTCCCTCCCGCTCTCCTTCCCCCCCATTTCCTTCCCTCAGCAGCCTGAACAGCGTGAACAGCAGCGACTCTCGCTCCAGCGGCTCTCACTGCCACTCCCCCACCTCCCACTTCCGTTACCGGGCCTCTTCCTCCTCCTCCTCCTCGGTCCTCCCCCAGCAGGCGCCGGCCCGCCTCTCCTCCATCTCCTCCCACGACTCGGGCTTCATCTCCCAGGACGCCTTCCAGTCCAAATCCCCCTCACCAATGCCCCCGGAGAGCTCACAGGTAAGGGGAGGTCGGAGAAGCCGTCCAGGTTGCTAGGATACTGTACGTTGTGTGTGTGTTTGAGTCACGCCTGCAGCAGACAGAATGTCCTCTTATCGCCCACAGGGTTTCCCCAGCCGTTTATCAAGGGCTATTCAAGCAGCAAATCCCACTGAAAATATAAATGAGCAATTAGCAATCAAGCCGTGGATTAATTTTCTCTACAAAGACAAAAAAACTGTTTTTTCATTTTCTTTAATTAATTAAAAATGTTATGCTATTATTTGATACATTATGATAAAATAAACTAAAACACATTGTGTGAGCTTAAGGCCCAACGGAAAAAAGCATAAACTTTGGGGCTGGATTTGTCATTTGTAATCATCAACAGTCTGAACTATAAAAACCATCCCAACCACAAAGGTTTGTGTTGTATTTTGTGGGAAGCAGCTGCTTAATGAGACTCTGTTAATATAAATGTAAAAGTACTACTTCACTACAAGTAAAAGAGAGGAAACACTACCGCTAGTGTCCACGGGGGGCACCAAACTCAACACAAATGACACTCCCTCTGACTTTAAAGCAGAGGCAACAGGGGGGTGCGGAGGTACTGCACTTTACTTATTTATTTATTTTCAACCAATTTTTTGGGGAAATTTTGAAGACCCCTGGTTTAAAATATTTCCAAAAGTGTGGGAGGAACTTTTTCTTTCTGATTGATGACGTGAAGCTTTCAAAGCCTTTAGCTCCTCATTCCACCTGCTGAGCCTCATCTGTCTCCTCTCTACTTTCACTTCCCTGACCTGTGACGTGCTGCTGCTCATCTTCCTGTGTGTGTGTGTGTGTGTGTGTGTGTGTGTGTGTGAGTGTGTCTTTGTGCTTTGCATGGCCCTGCTTCAGTCGTGTGTCTCTCCTCTTCCTCACCCTCACACAACGAGCCCCCACCTGGGACGCAGCAGGTGAACGTAAGATGCGTGTCTTACTTACTTTTAAAAAAACCTTAATGAGGTATTTGTTTCATCTAACCTTCTAAGTGGTGCTCTTCTTCTCCTTTAGGATCATTTATTGTCTTTCAAAATAAAAAACACGAGAAAAAAGACACAACAACACCAGCGTTGTTCGACGACTATGACTTTTAGGATGTTATGATAGCACATGTTCACCAGAGGTCCATGAAGTGTGTCCTAGCAGCAGCATGATGAAGCCTCACAGGGGTCGGGTCCTCCTAGGCTGCTCAGAGGAACATGGAAGGAACCCGAGTTCAGACCCATCGCTCAAGCATGTTTCACCTCCTCAGCGGTCATGTGTTTGTTTTTCTCCCTCCGCCTGCTCGCCTTCAGTCGCCTCGCGGTTTTGACCATCACTCCGTCGGGGGGGCGCTGAAGGCCCTGGACACGCACCTCCACCCTCCATACTTCACCTACTCCTCCTCAGCCACCTCCACCTCACCCATCTCCTCGCCCTCCTTTTCGTCCGTTTCCCCCACGTGGCCGTGGTCCCGCTCCGGCCAATCAGAAGAGCTCCTGCCTCTCAGCCCCCCCGGGCTGGGGGCGGTGCCGTCATCCCGAGTTCCATCCTGGAAGGTTTGATCATGCTCCCTCATGTCCTCTTCCTTCACCGCGGCGCCATGCTTAGGCTCTTCCCGAATGTCCTTCCATCTCATGCTTCTCTTCTTCTTCCTCTTCTCTTCTTCTTCCTTTCCTCTCTCTGCTCACTGTGAAAAGTCGCTTCATGATTCACAAGCTCAACTCGAACTTCCCAGAAAGCTTTGCTCTCCACTGTGATGATACCAACTGGCTCCTTTGTGGTCTCATGTCTTGTGTTCCTGTGAAGGACTGGGCCAAACCAGGACCGTACGACCAGTCCATGGCCCACACCCTGAAGAGGAGCAGGGACCGCAGGGAGGCTGCAGATCTGATGGGGGAGGAGCCTCAAGGGGTCAGAGGTCACCACTCTGTGATGTCACCAAAGGTCAGACAGTGCTTGTATTCAGTCTTTAGGGTCACTTGAGCTTTTTGATCGGGAAGGAACTTATCGGAATAAAGTACACAAAACAAACACTGTCAGACCTGTGTGTGTGTGTGTGTGTGTGTGTGTGTGTGTGTGTCTCCCGCAGGAGGACAGGGACACCCACGAGGAGTTGGCCCGGGCGCTGGCCCGAGGCCTCCGCCTGGACATCCACGACTCCAGCAGAGACTCTCTGCAGGGCTCCAGTGGCTACAGCAGCCAGACCAACACCCCCTGCTGCTCCGAGGACACGCTGCCCTCACAGGGTACACGCTGATATACTATACCTCTATATGTATACTATACCTCTATATGGTATATTATACCTCTATATGTATACTATACCTCTATATGGTATATTATACCTCTATATGTATACTATACCTCTATATGGTATACTATACCTCTATATGGTATATTATACCTCTATATGTATACTATACCTCTATATGGTATACTATATTATAGTATGGTTATTATAGTATGGTATACTATTATATTATATGGTATAGTATATTATACCTCTATATGATATACTATACCTCTATATGATATACTATACCTCTGTATGTATACTATACCTCTGTATGTATACTATACCTCTATATGGTATATTATACCTCTATATGTATACTATACCTCTATATGTATACTATACCTCTGTATGGTATACTATCCCTCTATTTGATATACTATACCTCTATATGATATACTATACCTCTATATGTATACTATACCTCTATATGGTATACTATACCTCTATATGGTATACTATACCTCTATATGGTATATTATACCTCTATATGATATACTATACCTCTGTATGGTATACTATACCTCTATTTGATATACTATACCTCTATATGATATACTATACCTCTATATGTATACTATACCTCTATATGGTATATTATACCTCTATATGATATACTATACCTCTGTATGGTATACTATACCTCTATTTGATATACTATACCTCTATATGATATACTATACCTCTGTATGATATACTATACCTCTATTTGATATACTATACCTCTATTTGATATACTATACGTCTATATGATATACTATACCTCTGTATGGTATACTATACCTCTATTTGATATACTATACCTCTATATGATATACTATACCTCTGTATGATATACTATACCTCTGTTTGATATACTATACCTCTATTTGATATACTATACCTCTATTTGATATACTATACCTCTGTTTGATATACTATACCTCTGTTTGATATACTATACCTCTATATGATATACTATACCTCTGTTTGATATACTATACCTCTGTATGATATACTATACCTCTGTTTGATATACTATACCTCTATTTGATATACTATACCTCTATTTGATATACTATACCTCTATTTGATATACTATACCTCTGTTTGATATACTATACCTCTATATGATATACTATACCTCTGTTTGATATACTATACCTCTATTTGATATACTATACCTCTATTTGATATACTATACGTCTATTTGATATACTATACCTCTGTTTGATATACTATACCTCTATTTGATATACTATACCTCTATATGATAGACTATACCTCTGTTTGATATACTATACGTTTGTCTGATATAGTATACCTCTATGTGATATACTATAGCTGTACCCTTGCTTTGTGGGGGGTAAAGAGGTGTAACCTTCTGCCCTGATTCTCCACTTGGTGTTGCTGTCCTTGCATGTCACAGGTGTGATGACATCACTCTGCCCCCCACAGGGTCTGACTGTGACTACTACTCGGTGGGCGCCGACCACGAAGGAGACCAGCACGCCTCCGACTTCGACAAGTCCTCCACCATCCCGAGGAACAGCGACATCAGCCAGTCGTACCGCCGCATGTTCCAGTCCAAGCGCCCAGCCTCCACCGCCGGGCTGCCCTCCACGCCCCCCGCCGCCACCCCGGGAGTTGCCACCATCCGACGGACGCCGTCCTCCAAGCCCAACCTGCGACGGCCCCCCGGGGTCCTGGGTCCCATACCGATCAAGCCCCCCATGATTCCGGTCAAGACCCCCACTGTGCCAGAGCACCCGGGTTTCCCCGCCAGCGACCCCCGCACCCCGCCGGGCCCCGCCGCCCCTCTGTCGCCAAGATCAGGCCCGTGGGCTCGGGGCCCAAGCGAGGGGTCTGAGCCGCCCACCCCCCCGCCCCCGCAGCCCGGCGGTCGGGCGTCAGAGTGGGAGCGCCGGCCCCTCCCGGAGCTCCTGGAGGAAGCGGAATATGGCGAGGTGGAGGACTTCCTGGTGGCCATCCGACGCGGCGTCCGGCTGAAGAAGGTGTCGACCAATGACCGGTCAGCGCCATGGATCCACTGAGACGGGGGCGGGGAGGCCGAGCTGGGTCGAGGGAGGCGTGGCATCGGGGGGGGCGGAGCATCGCATCCTGATCCAGGATCAGTTCAGCATTTATTTGAGAGACGTTTGAAGGGACGTCTGGAAGAAGTTCTGCTGAAAGAGGAACCGGGACATTGAACTTTTAGTTTGAAAATCTCTTTTCTGAACAGAAACGAAAAAGGTTTTTCTAGATTTAGAAGTGATCCAACAACCCGTCAGGTTCTCATGGCTTCTTCTGATCCCCGATCAATCGGCTGAGAAGACTTTGTTCATTCAATGGACGGATCGATGGAGTATTTTCAGATGATCAAATCATTATCAATATCTACATATTTATATTTTGATGTGTGTGAACATTTTGTTTGTCTCATGCGCCCCCCCCCCCCCCTAACACACATTTCCACTAATGGTGCCAAAAGCCTGAATTTAATATAAATATTCTCTATTAAGGTGGATCTATATTTTTTTCCGTACATCAGACCGTCTTTTGGATAGAGAATGAAGACAGATTGGAACCTGAGAGCGTATTTGTAATGTCAGCAGATTGGAGAGTGGTTCTAGTTACTGGCACCACGTACAGTAGAGGAACCTGCATGTTCTTTTTGCCGCGGCACAAGCACACGTCTGGGCTTTTAAGATCAGACTTAACAAGCGTCCGAAGGGTTGGAACCAGCGAGGGATCTCTGACTTCCTGCGGACGCGGCGCCGGCCTCCTGCTCACTGAGCAGCCGGCCGCGCGTTAGAGGCCTTAGTGAGGTGGATCAGTGTCCGTGGTAGAGCAGCCAGTGTGTCAGTCGATTTAACTAGACGTAATCATGAGTAAATGAAACTGGTTTAAAGTCTATAACGCTCATAATACAGGCTGCCAGGGGTGGACGGCGGCCTATGAACTGGTCTGGGATCTGGCCTTCAGCATCTGAGCTAAGAAGCCATCCAACACACGTCCAGAACACGGAGAGACTCTTCAGGTGGTTTTAAGGCTCTGGCGGCCATGTTGGAGGTCAGCTGACTACAGCTGGTCACATTCCTGAAGCTGCTATTTGGATGTTTCAGTTGCATTTCATTCAGAAGGTATCAAAATATATATATATATAATGTATAGTTGATACACAGCCCCAGAGCGCATAATTCCTCCCATATGAATGATACAAAAAGTAGCCGTATCACAGGACGTCACTGATATCGTACACGTGTATTGTTACACCGATGTTCTCCATGGTGGCGCCAGGTTTTATTGCGTGTAACTGTCTGAACGGCCTCCGAGCAGGAGACCACACGTGAAACGTCAAATGGCCTCAAAGCTGTTCAACAATCACTGTTAATCACCAGAAAGCCTCATGTTTTATCCACTTCGGCGCTCTGCTCTTTTGTTTGTTTCTTTCCACCTTCCTGAACTGTCCCGTGGAGCATTTACAACCTATGAACACACATATTTAACATGCACGTCGTCTTCTTTTCAGTTTTTCTTTCCTCGGCTGGTCGGTTTCTGCTTTTAACTCACGTCTTTTCTCTCGTTTCGTATTTCGTGTGGCAGCAGTTTGACGCCTTTTCTTTTTCCACTTGGAGGTTCCCGAACACGAAGGTGCAGCTGATGCCGTAACGAGCACATGAAGCTGAATGTGGGAGGCTGTAAGTGTGTGTGTGTGTGTGTGTTTGTGACATTTTAACACTCAGCCGGTACTTTTATCACCTGAGGTCATTTCATGAATGTTGACGGTTTGGGAGAATAAAGAAAGCTGTTGTTTACAGAGGGAGAGCGTTTAGCTTTGGACCCGCTGGGGTTTAAAGCCGATGATGGAGGAGGAGGTCGTAGGTCAGAGGTCAGATTAACATTTTCATTCACTAGATTTCATCAGCTGTTTTTCCCACTTTAGAATCAAATGGGATCTAACTTGTTGTAGTTGGCAGAGAGGATTGTGGGTAAACATGAGTAAAAAGTATTAATGTTCTCAGCTTAAACGTGTGCATGTGATGCTCTTCAGTGTTAACAGATGGAAAAAGGACATTTAACCAAAGTGCCAAAAAGCTTTGAACATTCACCTACAGGAAATAATCAGCTTCCTTTATTGCTGCTTAAAACAGTGAAATATAATGAATTATTTATAAATCCTTTTAATTAGAGGACGATTACTGGTGTTAATCATGTGGCATTTGGAAACATAATTTTGTAATAAAAGCTGAACTTCGTTAATAATAAACACGTTTCACTTGATCAAGTGTTTGTTTTTGCTCATTTCAGCTCAAATGGGAACAAAGATTCATGTTTTATTTGTTCGTTTGATCAACAATGGTTGAAATGCACTTATTGTTTGTCGCTTTGGACAAAAGCGTCAGCTAAACGACCCACAGGCCCTGAATGCATCACCACAGCTGAAGAGGATGCCGGATGTTTTTTCTTAATTTGATACTTAAATATTTCATTACCCAGAAGGCACCACAGCAATAAGCGATAAGTAATGGCAACACGTTTCCTTTCACATGTTCACTTCCTGATCAGTGTCTCGTATGTTCTGTGTGCCGGCTGCTTGGGAAGAATAATACAACTCTTCCTCTTCCTCTTCCTCGCTTACATTTCACATGACGGGACGAGGAAATATTTAGTCTAAATTGATCCAAACAGTTTCAAACTAGAGTGAAAGATGACTCCCTGTGGGGGGTCATGTGATTATCGCTGTACCCATTTGTTTTCCCTCCTGTTGATTTGAAATCTGTGTCAGGACATCGGACCACACTGGATATAAACACATCATTTATTACTTAATTAGTTGCTTCTTATTCACCTCAGACGTCAGCGCTTCTTCAATCGTGTTTTATAGTTAATCAAACTTAAATACTAAACATTCTCTAATTATCAACATTTCATCTCAATATCTGTTAAATAAGAGCAAAACAATTACAACAAATCACTTATCACAATATTACGTTTTGGCATTTTCTACCTTCAGAGGTTTGTACATAAAGATCAATGTGGATTTATTCTGCTTCACTACTTAATATCCAAATAAACTGATATGAATCCATAAGGTTCCTTTGCATCATTGTGAACTCGTCTCTTAGAACATAACTTGTGTCAAAGCAGACTCACTTTGTGCTGATAGTCTAAAACCAATGAGTCTCCAGACACGTCTGAATAAAGAGCGTCTCCCTGGATGCAGAAAGAAGACCTCCGTCCTCTCGTCCAGTCACAAGCCAGTGTGGTCTACAGGAATGACCTTCAGCCTCAGTGGGAAGGAAAAGACGATGAGTCGATTCAGGATTTTGGGTTGAGCCGACGAGTTCAGGCTCCGCCTCCTCCCGCGGAGATTTAATCGTGAGTAAATTAGTATTTAATATCGTGTGTCCTAATTGCAAAAACAATAGAAAACCCCGGTGAGTGAGAAGGAGAGCGGACACGTGGTCCTGGACCTACACTGCAGATTAAAAACAGCTGGAAGACGTAGTGAGATGCTCGTAGTGTTGCACTCAGCTGCTCCGCCTCCTTCCTCACCTCCACCTTCCTCACCTCCACCATCAACACGACTAGAAGCAGATAAACACAAAGGAGTCGCTGATCCCTCCCCATCAGAATCCAAGGGGAGCGACACACTGCAGACAGAAGGGGAACCACAAGTCATGTGACCCGTTAGGAGGAGGCCGCGGTGGAGCAGGGCGGTGCTTCTTTCTCCTTCTTTTCCTTCTCGTCATCCAGGAAAAACAGAGGGAACATGCCCAGGATGCAGCCGATGGAGACGCCGATGGCTTTGCCCTGACGGATGAGCAGAGACAACCGACATCATGAACACGTTCTAGTCCTCAGCTGCGATAGGACGTCTCACGGTGGGACTCCCCGGGGCTTATCATCGTCATTAAACGCCGCAGGTCTCACCATGTGGGAGCTGACTCGGGTCTGCCACATGTCCACCTGTTTGGGGGTCAGGTCTGGACCCTGCATCCCCAGCTTCGAGGCCAGAGCCTCCACGTAGCCTGCAAGACTGACAGCACACATTCACTCAGCCTCAGTAAGGACGCGCGCGTGCGTTACGTCTGCATTCATGACCCCTTTTCACAACGAGCCAATCGGATCCCTCAGGCAGAGTCAGGACGCGGCTTACCCGAGACCGGCCAAGTCGGACACCAGGTTCCCAAACGCCGCGGCTGGGACACAAAAAGAGGAGACAGTTTGACTTCTGATGAGATACACGGAGACACTACAGTCGCATATTACAGATGTGAGAAGCTGAGGACTCGTCCTCCGTCCCCCTCCCCGTTTGCCCTTTGCAGAGGAATATTGGAGCAGCGTAACCACGGAAACGGAATAATCTGTTGCCTTTACAGCGTGATGAAGATCCGACCGCAGCAGTCAGAGCAGCTTTATTGTACTGGTGCGAAGACCACCAGAGACATGAGGACCACCAGAGACATGAGGACCACCAGAGACATGAAGACCACCAGAGACATGAGGACCACGAGAGACATGAGGACCACGAGAGACATGAAGACCACGAGAGACATGAGGACCACGAGAGACATGAGGACCACGAGAGACATGAAGACCACCAGAGACATGAAGACCACCAGAGACATGAAGACCACCAGAGACATGACACACATGAGACATGAAGACCACGAGAGACATGACACACATGAGGCATGAAGAGGAGGGAAGGAGAAGTGTTGCATTCTGCTGTGAGAAGCACATCAGCAATAAATTCACTTTATATTTCTAAATGATTGAAGTGAAAGTTATTTCTTGAATGTTGGATTATTACACTATACAGAAAAATAATATTTCACGTTTTTTTTAATTATTGCAGAAAATTATCTTGTGTGTTTTAACATTTAAACATTTAGTAAAGAGCTCGACGTTCAGACGTTTTTGTCCTCGTTAAGTTTTATGTCCCTCAGATGTTAAAATACAGTTAAAATGATTCTTCTTCTTCCTAGTCGGCCCTTAGTTGTTTAATACTCAAACCATTTAGTGGATTTGAAGTCGAGTTCCTGCGAAGAATCAAAGGAACATCTTTAAATCGTTGGATGAGCTCATATATTTTTTGGCAATTGAAATCATTTGCGTCCATCATGTCGTCCTGAGCCAAAGGACCAAAGAGGTGAAATGTGGAAGCCCCGCCCCCTGCCCTCTCTCACGGACACCTCACAGCGAGGAGCCGGCGGCCGCGGCCTTACCGGCCATGGTGGAGATCCCCAGGGTGACGCCGATGGACATCTCGATCTGTGTGCCCTGCAGAGCAGAAGAGCAGCAGGTGAGCTTCTCGCGGGACGGAGGGGAACCGAGCCCCCGTCCTGCAGGAGGAGGAAGTGACTCACCGCTGCGATCATGATGGCGTTGTCCAGGAAGCCGAATCCCACGAAGGGGACGGCGTTGTGGAACAGGACTGCAGACCGGCGGGAGAAGTTAACACACATTCAGACGCTTTTCCATAAACTTCCTGCACAATAAACCAACGTGTGTTTGCTTGTAGTATCAAGATTTAAAGACTGTCGGTTTCCTCATGGTGTGAGAAGACGAGGTCACGTACTGATCTCTGGAACACGGAGGGTTTCTCACCATATCGGATCTGCTCTGCTGTCGGCGCCGACGGCTCCAGGTTCTCTGAGGAGAAGAAGAGCTGGAGTTTGAATCAACGCGTGCGACCTCGTTGAGGCGAGCCGCCTCGGGAGAGGTGGGCCGCCGGGGCAGAGTGCATTCTGGGGCACGGAGAGCGCGACGGCGACCTGAGATCTTTGTTATTTGATAATCTAATAAACACGGAGTAATAAAAGGATTCCTGACCCACTTTCCCCAACAGGAAGAAATAAAACCTCCAGACACGGGAACTCGTATCCTGAACCTGCTCTTTATCCACCAGTGAAGCCAACGGACGGCGGCCTGCTGCCCTTTGAGTTTGAAACTTAGTAACTGAAACCCAACAGTGGAAAGAAGGCGTGAAACTTTTATCTGCAACACACACACACGTGACATTTTTAGAAGCCAGCAGAAGCCGGGTGTCATATCTCACAGTGGCGGGGGCCACACGCCTCAGAGTGTGGGGAAACCAAGCAGACGCCCACTGCGTTTGTAAAATTAAAGCCGATTTCTCACCATGAAACCATCATCTCCCCGTCACAGCGTGCGTGTGACACTGAACATCTGCTTCTGAGCACTAGTTACATTTGGAGGGTTGCAACAACACCGCAAACTGTTACATTATTGGATAAAGTTCAGCCTCTCGTACCTTGTTGCTTCAATATTAAACGGCATTAAATGAGCGTCGCGGTGAGAACTGCACAGCATCTCTCCTTCCTGCACATCCGTGTGAACCGTTCATGAATCAATGATATAAATGTGGCTTCCATCGAGAAGCAGGCGCCTCGCGTGCACTTTGAAGCCATGTTGAGGGTTTGTTAACACCGCTTTCTTCACGTCGGGGAATAAGAGGAGCTCAGCTGACGTGTGAAAGATGAAGCCTTTTCTTTAAAGATCTGCAGGACCAAAGACCAGCAGAAGGCTGCCGAGGACACAGCAAAGGGACGAGACACACATGCGTCCTACAGACGTTAACGTGCCCACTAGTAGAATTATAATAATCATAATAATGCTGTTGAATCAATCATTCGTCGTGTGAGCGAGGGAGCCGTCTGTCCACGGCTGACGTCTCATTCAGCCGCTGATTTTACGACGTGTCCGTAGACGAGTCACTCTGCTGGAAAAGGGAAGCGAAAGGCCTCAAAAAGCAGATCCACAGGTGGTGACTCACGAGAGGGATTGAGACGCACTGTCCCACTGCGTCACACCCAGTTCACAACACGCCCCATTGGGTGTTAGCGGCAACGCCCACATTAAGCCCCGCCCCAAATCATCCCTTCCTTTACTCTTAAGTGGCCTCATTTTATTGAGGAAGACTTGAAACTAGAGACCATGAACGCGTGTATACAATGTTGCTTTCTCACAGACTTCAATGGGAGCAGAGGAGTCGCCCCCTGCCGGTCACCGCAGAGAACGCAGCGTAACAAACTCACGTCGCTGCCTTCTGGCGTAACCGAAGAGCCACGTGTTTCACACACGCACCAACCGCCACGTCAAATTCCTTGTGCGCCTGACATACTATGGCAACAAATGGGTCCCGATTACTGCACCTTTACCCGCTTCAGGTGTGGCCAATCACGTGGCTTTGATGGGACGACGTCCCCTCCCCCGCTCCCTGACGCAACTACCCGAAGACGGCGGGCCGGCGGCTCGCGGAGCCCCCCCTCACCTTGGACGATGGCCATGGACTCGAACCCCTGCAGCTCGCGCAGGAGGCAGGCGCGCTCCGTGGGCTGCAGGCGGTAGATGAAGTCTCTGGCTCTCCTCGGGGAGTCGACCGGCTCCCTCGGCTCGTTCCTCGCGTGGGTTCCCAACCGGCGGCCCGGCGCGTGTCGCGTCACCGCAGCCCGTCCGACCGCTCCGAGCACCGCCGCCCGCCGGCAAAGCGGGAGCATCGTGGGCGGAATTGAAAGAACCCACCCACTCCGAAAATAAACCGACGCGGTTCTCTTCCTCCCTGCCTGACCCGCCGCGGCCGCAGAAGTTGTGCCTCGCTAGCGCTGGATTCCCCGCGGGGGGGAGCGACGTCCTCGCGCGGCCGCTGCGTCTCCGGTGACCGTCGCGTCCTCTGTCCGCCGGCCCGAACGTCGCATGGTCGTCGGAGAGTCCGGCACGGGAAGTTCGAGGTGAAGCCCGAACCCGCAACTCGGCGACGTTAAGTCGGCCGGAATGGGAACAGCTTGGCTTCCGGCGAAGGCTTTCAGAATAAGACGATGGTGTTTCCGGTCACACCTTTCATATTAATACACTGGTAACAAGATGATCTATCATAAATACATTTACTACTAAATGTTAAAAGACGTACTATTTTGCTATACACACAATAATTAAATGATCAATTGTAATAAATGTGTGTAGTGAGAAGTAGATCATAAACTTGTGTGTATATTAATGTTTAACACATTGTTTTTAAATTAACTTGATGAATAGCAGCGTTGGTGTTTAGATCTTCAATCTGACAGGTGGGAACTTTCACAGTATCTGAGCAAAGCTGGTGTCCAATCCTGTCCAATAGATTTACTGTCTTTAGTTTTTGATAAAGTAACGAAGGTAAACTTTAATCTACTGCAACTTCAAACCTTTTACATGTTCTACGTGTTCTTAACAAGGTCATTTAAAAAGGGGCAGTTCACCCGAAAATCTGTGTTAAGCAGCTTAATGCACGACCTCTTTCCTGCACGGCTCCTACGGGAACGTGTGCGGTTTACGGTGAGTAACAGCTTGTGGCACCAAGCAGAGCAACTCACCCACACTGATTAGTAGACTGTGAATAGTGATCTCAGAGATAAAGTCCACACGCAATATCAAAGATGATTTTATTTACATAAATCTTTTGAAAACAAGGCAAAAATTAACTTTTACCTTTTTTAAAAAGAAAAAAAAAGCTTCCAGAACAATCACACCGACGATCCTTCACAGCAGAGAAACGGCTTTGTCACCTCAGCAGCCCCCCGGCATCTTCATCATCATCACCATCATCATCCCCCCCGACATCCTCTCATCACCGACAAGAACTTCATGGATTCCTTGCAGCTTATTATTTATTTATTTTTCCCACGACCATCAATTACAACAGTAATGAAGAGGAGTTTGTAGTCAAACCCTTTAAGACGTTCAGGCTGTGGAAGTCTAAACACGAGGAGGAGAAAGAACCCTTTTTAATACAAGCGAGCGTAACTGCCGAGCTGTGATCAAATAAGATCCAAATCAAATAAGAATACTTATGAAAGTGACACGTGGCTCCTAAATGATCTCTGGGTCCGTGTGTCGCTCCGGTGCTTTAAATGAGGCGTCCATGTAGCGGCGGAACGAGTCGTCCTCCCCTACAATGATACACATGTATCGTGTATTACCTTTTGTTTACTACAATTGTATGGAAGGGCCACTCGTCGTTAATTACCACAGGAAAGGAAATTCCATTATTGATATTGAATCGTGGGACTAGAAGCATGTGAGCCTTCAGAGCGGTGGTTTGATTAGAAACCTACAAAAGGTGCATCTTCTAAATGACCAATAACTCGCTGGGACGTCACCTTTCACGCTCACTCGCATGTTCTGTGGATCCAGAACACGACTGAACTAAAACACTGAAAGGAAAAGAACCAAAAAAACATCTCATCCTAATGGAGAATGTGCCCGTGTTTCGTTTTTTAATCACATGTACAATAACGTACACAAATGTGAGGTCACACAAGGGACCAGTATTAAGTCGTGAGCGGCATTTCACTGGTTACAGCAGCGAGTCACTTCTTTACGGCCTCCCTCTCTGCAACCGGCACTCGGTCCGTCGGTTCACGGCAGCGAGCGAGCGGCTCGGGCAAAACGCCGTCAACCAAACGGAACAAAGAAAGAAAGGAATCCGATTAATCTGCGTTTTAAACCTCAAACTCCCAGAACCACGTTGATGGGACCTCGAGTGGGTTCCATCCTTAATGACGAACACAAACCGGCATTCTGACACAAAAACTCCAATCGCAGCTTCAAGTCGTCGCCCAAGCGCGCACAGACACACACACACACACACACAGACACACACAGCAGCAGTTATTCTTTCCTCGAGCCCTTTTAGAGTAAAACTCAAACTAAAAAGAACAAAAAGCATGACATCCCTGACATTTTAAGAAGATGTGTTTTTATAATTATTATCATTAACTTAAATAGAATCTTTTTATATCTCTCTTCCCGTCAGTCCTCCGTGGAGTCCGTGTCGTCGTTGATAAAGTCTTCTTCTACCGGCGAGTTGCCGCTCCGAGTCCCCCACTCGTCCTCGTCGTACTCGATGCTGTCGTTGTCCTCCAGCAGCTCGTCGTCCGCCCCGCCCCCCGCGCCCGCGGCCTGGACGCCGGCCCCCGCCTCCCCGGCCCCCGCAGGCTCGGCGTCCGGCTCTCCGTGCCGGTCCCCCCCCCCGGGGGCCGGCGGGGGCGCGGCGGCGGCGGCGAGGTCCTGCGGCGCCGCGTAGCCCCCGTTGTTGTTGGAGAAGGCGGCTCTGTCCCGGCTCTCGTCCTCCACGTAGACCCTCTGGTGGCACATGGGGCACGTGTCCTGGATGTAGAGCCACTTCCTCAGGCACAGCGCGTGGAAGTAGTGGTGGCAGGGCGTGATGCGCGCCGACGTGGCAAACTCCTGGTAGCAGATGGCGCACACGTCCTCGATGTCCGTCAGCTGGTCGCCGCGCATCTCTGGCAGCGAGTTGATCTTCTTGACGGCCGTGCGGCGGTTGATGAAGGTCTTCCAGCCGTTCTTGGCCTGCAGGTAGATGTTGAAGTAGGCGTGCAGGCACATCATGCACGCACGGATCTTGCTGCCCGACTCGAACATCATGGTGTAGGCGCCGTTGCCGAACATGATGACGCCAAACAGGAACTCGATGATGTTGCCCGTGGAGCGCACGTAGTAGACGTAGTCGTCCAGCTTCTCCCACAGGACGTTGGAAAAGCCGTCCACCATGAAGAGGCCATAGACGGTGAGGGACACCACCACCTGCAGGGACACGAGAGGGAAGCATCAGAACCCGGTTCTCTCCACGCAGCCCAAACAAAGGGTGGAGGAACCCTTCCTTTAGATAACTACAGGCGGCCTCCACCTACACACAGGATCCACAAATGATCCGCTAGCTTTGAACCCTCAAACCGTCTCTCAGAGCCTCACGGGCCGGCGGCGCCCTCACCTTGAGGCAGAGCTCCACGCAGAAGGCGGTAACGGCGAACAGCCAGGTGTTGAGGTCGTAGTGGTGCCAGAGGGCGTAGCTGAGTGCCACGGGGAGCACGAAGAGCGCCAGCGACACCAGCAGGACGGGGAGGTGGCGGCGGACGGAGGGGACGTGGGAGGCGCTCAGGGACATGAGGACGGGGTCGGTCATGCCGTGGACAAAGTGCAGGATGGCCGTTAGCAGAAGGCACATGTTCCGGCTCAGGCGGACCTGCGGGTCAAACATAACACACTTTATAAGTTTCTCCCTCATGTTCTCTGTTGAGAGGTTTGGAATTTAAAGGTTCTTCCAGTATTTTGGTAGATTTAGCCAGTTTGTTTTTATTCTGACAGGAGCGTTCGTTCGCTCGATGTGTTCCAAGGACCCGTCAGAAACGGGGAATCTGCCCAAAGTTTTTTTATAGCTTCTGGTTCAGATGAAAAAAAAGGAACGAAGGGGAGGAAAAACAATCATTGCCCAACCAAGAGAAGGCCCACGATCGCCTCCCTAAATCAGCCAATCGCACACAGAGTCACGTACCAGGCGCTCCTCCGGGTCCAGGCTGCTGAGCCCGGTCTGCAGAGCCAGGATGAAGAAGAGAACGGGAGCCACGAAGCCCAGACGCTTGTCCTCCTCCTCCGTCGAACCTGCGCGGGTGACAAGACGAGGATGAACTCCAGGAGAATCAGCAGACGACGAAGGCAGAGCAGATCCAAAAGAAGGTTTGTACAACACACACACACACACACACACACACACGTACCTATGAAGGCCAGGATGCTGAGGCCCAGGTAGTGTGCGACAGAGGAGATGACGGCACTCATCCCCAGCACGGTGAGCGTGGAGTCACAGCCGGAGATGATCAGGTTGCTGGTCAGATCCCAGAACACGTCCCAGCTCAGCAGGTAGCCCTGACAACAGAGCAGCCACACGCGTGTCACGGCCACATGTAGAAACTGACCACACACACATGTGCGTTTTGTGCTCCATCAGATTTGATGCCACAGGGAGTCGACATGTTTTCAGTGCAGACGTTTCTTTTCTATCCTGCAGAATCTTACTAAACAGTTCTACAGTATTCACCTAATGCAATAAAAGACTTTAAGACCCTTTCATGCCAGACAAAATGCAATTAAGTACATTTTCCATTCAGAAAAGAATAATAATGGAAAATCAGAGGCAGAATTGAGATATTTCTTCACATTTGTCAGTTTCTTTGCAGCTGCATATACGTTGATATGTTTTGATCAAGTCCATTATGTGTTGGATTATAGACGTGTAGCATTTCCTACAGCAGCTCAGCTCAACCACATGCAAACAAACGTATTTACAGAACGCAAATGATGACGTAGTCCTTTGACAACGAAAGTCCTTTAGGAGGAACCGAATTCAGAGTCGTGCTGCCCGAGCGGTTCCGATCTCACCTGTGAGTCGCCGCTCCCGTCTACCACGCCACCCGTGGCGTCCCCGCTCTCCCTCCTCACCGCGCGCACCACGTAGACCAGGATCAGCGCCTGGGAGGTGGCCCGGGTCAGCCAGAACACCCGCAGCACGTCGGGGAAGCGGATCCTCTTCCAGGTGTCCTCCAGCAGCAGCTGAAGCCCGTAGATCCTGTACATGTGCCGCACCAGCAGGTAGACGTACCGGCACGAGTAGTAAAACCACTTCAGCCTCGCGGCCAGACACACGGCCGTGTGCAGCGCCAGCGCCAGGCCCGAAAACACGGCCACTAGCTGCCTGACGTCGGCGGGCAGCTCGATCATCAGCCCCCACAGGGGGATCATGATGTCCAGCACCACCAGCGCGGCGAACACGGACTGGAGGTTTAGCAGAACCACGTAGCCCACGCCAAAAACCAGCTGCACCGCCGCCACGCCCAGCCACAGCGTCGGGCCGTTTCTGGGAAGCAATCTGAAGCCCAGCGCCGCTTTGTAGTAGGCGCTGTAGAAGTCTATGTGAGAGGTGGCGTAGTAGTTGATGAGCACCGCCACCACGCCCAGCAGAACGGCAGAGAAGAGGGTGTAGAACTTGAACAAGGCCTTTTGGGAGAGCAGCAGCACCATGCCGGAGACCAGGACACCTGGAGACACAAGGGACGGACATCAAAGTCACGGGACAGCGAGTGAGCGGCCTATCGCATGAGACGATTTAAGAATGGAGCTTAGTTTGCCTGAAACAATATCAGCTGTCAGCTGAAGAATGCGAACGCGGCTCGAGAACCCAAAAACGAACGAGATGCCGATGGACAGCGGCAGCTCTCTGACCAGTCAAATGTTGACCAAACAACGAGACATTTCAACAATCAAAACCTGTCCAACGACTCCAGAAGTCCAGCTGCAGGTCAATATGGAGGCGAGAGAGGGAGGGAGGGAGGGAGGGTGCGGTCAGATCGCAGAGACGGGAGTATCAACACGTCCCAGCTGCACCAGTGAACAACGACCAGACAAGATCAAAATGAAATGAATAGCAGAGTCCTTTGTGTGAAAGTAATCGTGTCAACAGCACACTGAAGAACAGCGGTGAACCGGCCTGTCTGAAGTCATCTTTGACTTGATTTGTCCCTCTGGTGAGTGAATGACACTATACTAATGTATGGGGGAGTCTATTCCTAACGGTGTACATAGAAAGGTTTATTTACACATCCACGTTTCATTTTAAACAGTGTATACCCCTTTGTGTAGTTTTCGTATACTTCTACCCTTTAGAGTATTGCATTGTTGTTCTCCAAACTTTGACTAAAAGGTCAATAAAGTTGCTCATCATATCGCAGTTGAGGGATTAGGAGATTAGTTTAGTTTTACTTAACCCAACCCAACATTAAAAGGAGAAACACGAGCGGTTTGCCACAGAGGTGTCGTCTATCACCAGCAGAACTTCATCGAGGCCGGAGGCGTTCAAAGGTAAACTGTACAAAGGAGTTACGTAACCTGCTGCCCACATCGCTCTGTGGAGGGAGAACTACTGCAGCTGTGGTTGATGTAGGCTACAAAACATGGACATGTCTGTCATGAACCACGTGATGCAACAATTAAAGAATATTATTGACAAGGTATTTTTCAGTTACGGAAGAGAAAACTGAAATGGCATTTCTGCCATGAGATTATGAATAACAAACAAAGGTGTGGATAAAGAGGCCGATGGGGTCAATAGGTCACATGATTGGTCAAACATGAAAAATCACAATGCGGCTACACTCAGTTTTCAAATTGCATTGATTTAATGGTTCTAGTTTTGAAAAGAGCTTTTTATTCTCTTCTATGCTAATACGTTAATATTACAGTTAATGTATTGGTGAGACACAGTGATGAATACTGTATAGTTCTCGTGGTTTTCTTATTATTTAACGTGTATTGTGTGTTCTAGGCCACGGGGGGGGGGGGAAAGGCGGATATACCGACAGGCAGAATGTCGGGCTGCCTAAAAAGTTACCTAAAGACAACCGGTAGAATTCCAGCGGGGACACCGAATTCACCGCAACATCCCGGGTGAACAAAAATACCCGCCTGAGCTGCTAACGCGAGCCAGAGACACGAGCGGCTCTTAGCATCAAAAGAAGACCGCGTCCGGTTTGATGCAGAAGACGACACGCCGGCTGGCGGCGGTTAAATCGGCTTTATTCGGCTGTGACAGGTGACGTCGCGTCACACTGCTGACTAACGCCGCGGCTAACCGCCGCCGAGCTAACGCTAGCTGTCAGCCGGGTACGTGTTGTTTGACGTAACAACGAGGGTTCTACTTTTAAAGTAAATAAATCAAAAACTCACCCGTGACTCTGACCAACACCTTGCCCATGGTACCGGCCCACCCCGAACCCGGGTCGTAATAGGAGTTAAAAATGGCGTCGATAATAAAGATACATGGAACTCGCAGGGTCACATCAAGCACCGCTAAGGCCTGCTGGCCGAGCCGGGCTTGAGTGGACGCCATGCCGGCTACGATGGAAGGGGTGCGCGGGGGGCTCACAGTCCTTGGCGGCCCCCGGCTTTTCCACGCAGCATTAAAACAAACAACGCTGTGCTCCTCTTCGGTTTCGTTTATCTGGCAGCTCGGGACCCGTCCGCCATGTCCGCCCCAGCTCAACCTCCTGTTGCCGTAACGTCGCGGCGCTGCCTCCGCCGGCCCGGTACACGTCAGGGTCCTCCTCGGACTCCCGGCCCGTCCGGTGTCCCGTCAAGTACCTAGACGTCTTCTTAAGTGGCCATTTCTCTCTCTGTCCCCCGCCCCCCCCCTGTGGTCTCGGTTGCTTGGGGAACACACGGCAGAAGTTGCCCCGGCAGTTAGTTCCGACGTAATGTGACGTCTTACGTCAGAGGGCGTGGCAGGTGACGCGCTGGTTGGTCAACATAATTTGTTGTAAAAGCAGTTTTTAAAAGACTTTAAATAAAACCTGCTGTTATTTACTTATATGGACTGAATTTACACTTTCAATCGATGTCGTTTAGCAAAATTCTTTTGAAAAATAGTAACTTATTCGGATCCTGTGTTAATGTTAATGTACTTTTTCAACAACTTAATTAACGTTCAGGTCAAGTTATTTACAATAACTGATAAATTGATATCAGTTATGCATAAATAAGAGTAAATTAGTTCAAAATAGTAAAAAAAAAAAATAGTTCAAATAACATGAAACTGAAAATGAATAAATCTAGTGCAAAACAAATATTTACAGGCATATGAAACAGAAAATAATTCAGGACAAGTCAATTAAAAGGTCATTCATTTTATTTCAGAAGAAGGCAGATTCGAAGCCAGGTGACTTTTATACATCATTCAGACACACACACAGACACAAATTCTTGAAGGTCATGTGAGTGGGTCTCCTGGAGGTTGATCTTACGTCGTCATCGGCTGGAGCTGAAGAAGACTTTGATGGTGTTGTTGTAGATGGCGTTGGCCAGCTCCAGCGGGTCCTCTTCCCTCACGGCCGCCATCACCTCTAGAACTTGTCTGCAGGAGAGAAACCATGACATGTAAACACCAGCTCTTAGTTGAGGTTAGAACTGATGACATCATGCAGTGAGTTCCACAACAACGTCGCTCACATGATGTGACAGGGCTCGTTCCTGTCCTTCACGCAGTGATCCGCCTCCCATTTCTTCTTTGTAGGAAACGTGGTTTTTACATATTTGGAGCCTGCATGTGTGTTCTTCACGCCGCACCACGGAGCATCTGTGAAGGAGCGGGACGCGTTAACGCATTAATAAATGCGGGACAGCAGCGCCGTGCACCAAACATCTGGATCTCTTTTTTCACATGATGATAAAGCCATGAATCACGGCACGTTTGACTAACGTGATTTAACTTCAATAAAAAGTGCTGAAAGTAATATTTCAATAATTTATTTATTCTTCCTCGACTCGGCTCTTTAACATTTCAGTAGAGACGTTTTGTGAATGAACTGCAGGCAACCCACCCGTTTCTATCATGAGTCTCTCAGTGGGGACGGACTTCATGGCTTCGATATTGGCCTCCGTCTTCAAGGAACTAAAAAATAAAAAAAAGTTTAAGTTGTAGTATAAATAACTAGATAAATACTCAACTGACGTGAAACACAGACCTGTACTAATGTCATATGTGAAATTAAAATAAAATGCTGTATTATATTCTATTCACTGAATCAGAATTGTTCTCGTCCTTATTCTCTAAGCTCCTATTGGGACTCGCCATCCATTGATTCCAATGAAGAGGTCGAGGTCAACGAGGGCGGCTGCTTCCTGCGCCGTCCCGTCGAAGGAGTGGACCTGAAAGGGAGGAAAGGCCTCAGGGATCACCTTACTATGATCACTACATCCGAGGAAAACTACCACTCCAGTTAATTACGGTTATATTTTTATAAATGTTTTACAAGTATGATGACATCCTGTATGGTGGGAAGACGTTTGCGATGCTTCTGCAGTAACTATCTCACAGAGGACGGAACAGTATTAAAATAAATGTCCTCACCACTCCTCCGACACAACGGTCTCGGTTTCTCTTCACGATGTCTGCTCAGAGAGAGACAAGTGACAGTAAAAGGCTTTAATGGGGAATGACAAGCAGCAGGTGGCGGGAGGACAAACCTACCCATGAAGTCCTGGTGGGCGCTCCTGCAGTGGAGGAACATGGGCAGCCGGGTCTCCTCCGCCAGCTCAAACTGCTTCTCAAAGTATCTGTTCCACACCGGCGGGTATTCAGAGGCCCATTATGTTAGATTACTGGTACCAGGAACGAATGAGAAATGTATCGGGTAGAACTTTGATGATTGGTTCATATTAACGTAACTTATTTAATTAGAATCATTTAGTAAATGACGGTCCATTTGGAGACCATAAAGCAGGGGATGCTTTAGGGCGGGGCTTACTGTGATTGACACGTGGCTATTACGGCTTTAACCCTTTCACACAACATTAATGCACATCCAGAGGGACCAGCCCATCGCTCATTAATAACATTTCATAATGTGGTTTCATTTGAGGTTTTTGGAGGCATCACAACTGACCAAAGGTTCATTTACATTAAATTGTAACCCAGCTGATAAAGACGCTTTTAATAAAACGTACTTGAGTTGAGTCTCTTTTGGGCAAAATTCCAATCTGTCAAAGTCTGTAACAGAGAGAAAAGACACATCAGCGTCCCATTGAACTATTTAAAATCTTAGTGTCAGTCCTCCTCCCACCCTCAGGTCACCAAAGACAGCCGAACCCACCGAGGCCGCACTCCCCGACCGCCACCACCTTCCCCCGGTGCGCCGTGGCCAGCTCCATCAGCCCCGTCAGGTACTGGGATTCCCCGCTCTGCTCAAACTGGGAGCAGCGGGTGGGATGGCAGCCCACCGTGCAGTACAGCTCGTCTGCGAGAACGAGGGACGGAGTTCAACGTTGGGTCTCGGATGGTGAGAAGTGGACTTTGTGGACGTTTCACAACGACGTTGTCTTCAATACGACCTTAAAAAGGCCACAAATGTCGGTGTTTCCGTTACCTCTGGTCTCGGCCAGTTTGAGGGCCTCTCTGCTGTCCTCGAGGTTTCCTCCCGTGATCATGAACTGCAACCAAGCAACAGCTTTTAGAACTTATATTATACTCATGATGGAAATAGACATTTCACTTAGAAAAAAAAAATATTCACAAAACGATTTTTCAAGAGAAAGAAGTCAGCGGACGGAGTGAGAGGGGCTCATCCTCTGAGGGCCGCGAGCGTCTGCACCCAGTTTCATGGCGATCCACCCGGGTGTGTTGCAGGAGAAGGAGACGCGCCTCACCTTTTCCACTCCGGTCCTGAGAGCTCGGTCAACCACCTGCTGGAGGTCATCTGCCACAAAGCCACAGATCATCTCAGGTCACCTGGTCTCAGGTCTACTGGTCTCAAGTCTACTGGTCTCAGGTCACCTGGTCTCAGGTCTACTAGCCTCAAGTCTACTGGTCTCAGGTCTACTGGTCTCAGGTCTACTGGTCTCAGGTGAACTGATCAAAGTCCCCGAGTAGCTCACCTTCGTGCTTCTGCTTCCCCCGGTAGAGTCCCCTGAACATGGGGTCCGTGAGGTTCACACCGATATCTGAGGAGGATGGAAGCCATGAACACACACGCTGTTTCATGAAGAACCGCCGGCCCTCTTATTCCCAACAGCATCACGGCGAAAAAGAAGCTAATTTGAGGACCTTAAACCAGCAAATATTTGGGAGTATTTCTTAATAAACCAGCTGCTTTCGCTGTCATCTGCGGGCTAACGGCTAGCTCCCATGCTAACGGAAACACGCACGCCGGCGTGTTATCGCCAGCGGCGGCGTGCGCACGTCTGAGGACACAACACGCGTCCGTCGTGTCGCTGAGAGCTGGAACACGAGTGCCTCACCGATGAGTTTGTGTTGGGACATGGTGGTGCGAGCAGCGCTCCGAAAAACAACCGCACATGTCGATCTCACCAGGCGCATAATGCCCACTACCGTAATACTGTGAGAGAGGGGAGGGGAGGTATTGACATGTCTGATCTTTCTTTTATTTAACCTCCGTGGGCAAATCTATTTCGAGTGCCTTACTTAACTAACCCGGAGTGTGGACTATGGATAAAACGGTCGAATCGAGACAATACAATAATTAACCAAACTAAATAAAGCAATACGAAAAACAAACAAAAGTATGTATTTTCTATTTATTTAAAGTAAGGTGATGTGAAATATATCTGACTACATTCCCCTCTGATCCAAACGTCCGTGCTTTGCTGGTTGTTGCTCGCTGTTCCCACTCACATCTGTGATTAAATCATGAATAAGAGGAATAGAGAAAACACGCTCGCGCCTTATAACCGCACTTACGGTCACGACGTCCACACGGCGCAAACCTCCCAGAATCCTCCGCGCCGCTAGCCGAGAAGGTGAAAATGGCCACTGCCTATCTCACCCACCACCAGAAAGTGTTGCGGCTCTACAAGAAGTCCCTGAGACACCTGGAGTCATGGTGCATCTTCAGGTGAGAGGAGGTGTCTACTTTTAAACTCCGTCACAGAGAAACACACAACGGAGAACGTCGCTGCTCTACTGTCCTGTTTGCTAATAAGCTAAACAGCTAAGCTAAAGGCTAAGCTAGCAGGTGGCCAGGTCACCCATTCCTCGCGTCGGTCAGTCCGGCTAAGATAGCGACCACCGACAGCTCACCCAACGTCACTCAGACGAGACCTTTCTATATCTATATATATATATTTATTTAGAGAAGATTACATTTAATTAATATTTCGGGAAACAGTCGCTTTGGAGCCTCAAAGCGAATCCGCATCCTGATCAATCTGAATGAAAACATCCAGAAATCGTCGTACATGACAGCTGGTCTAATCCTTCTAATCACGGTGCTGTGTTATTTATCAAGAAATCGATCAAAAACGAATCTATTCACTTAGGTATTTGTTAATATGAATGTAGTAATTCCCTTTAACAAGTTAACTGTATAAAAATGTTTCCTTGAATATGGTATTGAATGAAGACATGGGGGCATTTTTTAAGAAAAAGGTCGACTCTGCTTAAATTTGACGTTTCCGTGCAGCAGTTTATTTTAGGGCATCTCCCGACACACATCATTATCTGTTGTATCCATTATATATTATATATCATTATTAGATGAAAGCTAATCCTATTTGGGGTTATCAAGAAGATTATTTACAAGCACAAGAACATTTGCAAGCTTCTGTGTGTTCCATATATTCTGTCTGAGGGAACAAAAGCTCTCTGTTGGAGCTGAAGTGATGTTGTTTCGTCCCGGCCGTCCTGCATCAGCACCAGGGGCCTCGCGTTACCCGGGCGCACCTGGTCCTGCCTCCTGCTCTCTCATCCGTCCGACTGAAGACAGGTCACCGTTTCTGTTGTTCACCCTCACAGGGACAAATACCGGTTCTACGCCTGCATGCTGCGAGCTCGCTTTGATGACAACAAGGAGGAGAAGGACATGGTGAAGGCCACCATGATGCTCAAGTCGGGAGAGGAGGAGTTCTGGGCCAACCAACACCCGCAGCCCTACATCTTCCCCGACTCCCCGGGCGGGACGTCCTACGAGAGATACGAGTGCTACAAGGTGAGCCAGATATTATTACCCTCCGGATTCAAATTATTTCTTGTTTATTTGTCTCTTATATTTCAGAGCGATGCTTGTAATGCTCAGTTTGTGAGTGAAAAACACTTATTTGAACTTGAGAGTTTTCGTGTAACAAAGTAGAATGTCGCTTTGTGAGGCTACTATACGTTTGCAAGTTTGTTTCTTATTTTTTCTATAACATAAAGCGGAGGGAGACTTTTGATGAACCAAGTCAAGTGATGAATCAGAAATTTGACTGATCTTGACACACAGCGCTGTCTGTCGGGTTGTTACCGCCCTCTGCTGGAGATGTGAAGGTGGTGCAACGAGACGTCTGCGTCAAACAAATCTACATCACATACCCTTGGGTGGGGTGTAACACTGTTTCATGAAGCTTTTCATACATTTGTTATTTTAGCAGCAGACAAAAAAAGAAAAGAACCCTCGAATGCACTTTTTTCAGACCAAGCACCATCCTAATGTGACTGGGTGAAGGTCCTGAGCTCTGCTTCTGTTCCGACAGTTTCCGGAGTGGCTGCTGGACCACTGGCACCCGTCAGAGAAGGCCCTGTACCCCGACTACTTCTCCAAGCGGGAGCAGTGGAAGAAACTGAGGACGGAGAGCTGGGACCGAGAGGTGAGCTCTCCACACGTCAAACAAATCCCACCTTTTACTTTCCACCAATAAAATAATAATATAAATAAAAACCACTGGTTTTATTTTTCATCCTCGGATCGTAATAAAATAATCCCAGACTGGTTCAGCAGATCTTCACAATTGAAAATGAATCACTTTCCCGTTGACGCTGGGTCATGAAAATGTCACTTTACGGTGACTTCATGTCACCAATCAGGAGACGTTTAACCTCCCGTCACTTCATTCTAATGTATTTTCTGCTTCTTTGTTTGGAATCATTAGTAATTGAGTATCTAATTGGCTGTCAGACCAAATTAAAATCGTTCTGTCATTCATAATAATAAAAAAATAAGCCTTTATTTATCGTAAACGTTTGCAGGTCGCTCAGCTGCAGGCTGAGACTTCAGCCGGAGGCCCCAAAACCGAAGCCCTCCCTCCTGCCCGCCAAGAGGGAGACCTCCCCCCTCTGTGGTGGCAGTACGTCACCCGCCCCAGGGAGCGGCCCACATAAACACCCTCCATCCCCCCTTCAACACTCAGCAGCCGCACGGAGCTGAGTCGACATATTTCTGTGAAGAATGTCGTACTAGTCGTTCACCTGTGCAGGTTCCACGTCTGAGAACACAACCTGCCTGAAGTTGTGACTTTGGGATTTCCTGTAGACGTATCGATGAATACCTGTATAACTGTTCCAATAAATAATTATATCGTGTAAATTGCATGTTGTGTTTTTACTGCTAAAGAAAATCCTCGATATCCTGAGAGCTAAAACGAGTCAATGTGAGTTCATGCATCCTGAGTTCAGACCCAGGCAGCGGACCAGGGTCCGTGCCGTCAGTGTCTTCACTGGTGTGAGGGACCAACAAGACGTCAGTGAGGATTATCAGCCTCTAGATGTGCGTATTTGTGGTGGCAGCAGGCGGCCCCGCGGCCCGTTGCTATGGCGACGAGTGCGGCCTGAAGCCGCTCGGTCGCATCATCATGGTGACCGCCTTCAGGGAGTAGAAGTCCGACTCCTTCCAGGAGAACCAAACGATGCCGTCCGGGCCGAGCAGGTTCTGCGCTGTCAGAGAGTAGCGCCCCCCCTGGAGGGGAAAGACAACGGTGACACGTTTAACAGGGCGCTGAGCGGGTGGCGACGTCCTGAGGCGCGTTCTTGTCACCACCTCGTAGTGGACGCCGTTGAGGTTGGCGTGGAAGCACTGGTGGAACCACCAGCCGGCGTGGCTGAGCTCGGCGCAGAGGTTGCCGGTGTCCGGCGTGCTGAAGCTGTGCTGGTCGTGGTACCAGCCGAACGAGTCCTCCACCGTTCCACTGAAGCCTGACACGTGGAGGCGGTACCGGTCCTCCTCGCCCTCTATCCTGCACGAGGAGGAGAGGAAAGCAGACGTGACCGTCGTCATGTCACTTTGGAATACTCAATCAAGGTTGACACCATTTTTTTTATTTTATTTTTTGCAACCAGACGAGGGGTTGAAGCTGTACAAGAAGAAGTACAAGTTCTAAAATGAAAGCACTGACCTGTCAATCACAGAAAAACCCGCCCAAAGCACCCCCTCTGGTCTGTTTGACTCTAAATGGACCATCATTTACTAAAGATTTGAAACTAGAGATTCAGACCATAAACTCATGTTTACAGTGTTTACTGAGGGAATAAATCAAGAAGAAAATAGTAATTTCCTCATAGACGTCTATGGGAGCAGAGGAGTCGCCCCCTGCTGGTCACTACAGAGAAGTAGAGTCATTTCCTCATAGACGTCTATGGGAGCAGAGGAGTCGCCCCCTGCTGGTCACTACAGAGAAGTAGAGTCATTTCCTCATAGACGTCTATGGGAGCAGAGGAGTCGCCCCCTGCTGGTCACTACAGAGAAGTAGAGTCATTTCCTCATAGACGTCTATGGGAGCAGAGGAGTCGCCCCCTGCTGGTCACTACAGAGAAGTAGAGTCATTTCTCATAGACGTCTATGGGAGCAGAGGAGTCGCCCCCTGGTGGACATTGGAGAGGATGCAGCTTTAAGCTTTGGCTTCACTTTTCAGACTGAGGGTTTCTGTCTGCTGCATCACATCGCAGTCTGCACAGTTTAGACTAATCCACATCACCGATCCGTCTACCTGAAGCTGTGGTAGAGGGCGTGTCTGTGGGCGTGGCTCCAGTCCTGTAGGTCGATTCGGAGGCTGTGGTGGCCCTGGTTGGACAGCAGGTGGAGCTGTCGGTTCCCCAGCCAGTGTTCCCCCTGCGGCTCTCCGAACCCTTCGCGGTACGCCGACCAACCGCGGTTAAAGCTCACCGAGCCGCCGTGGCGCCGCTGGAACACCGTCCAGCCCCCGCCTGGCGAAGCACATAGCGAGCAAGGCGTCACGTCTGGGTGTCCGGGTCTTGTGTTTAGGTAAAGCGTGCGTCTCACCGCCGGTCTCCATGTCGCAGTAGACGGGCACGCCGTTGCCTGCCGACGGGACGATGGTGTAAACGCCGGAACGACGAACGCCGCTGTGATACAGGGACGCGCAGTCGGATGGGCAGAAAGACAAGCGGGGTCCATCTGGGGGACCAAAGACAAAGAAAGTCAACTAATAACGGACCTTTGGGATCCTGAGGATTCGTTTGAGCAGCTACTGGATGGAGCGTGTTGGTCTGCAGACTGAGGGTCAACAACCCTGAGACGATTGGTTGACCCCGAGCAGTGAGGGGTCTGGACGGCCCAACGGTCCGGTGCAAGACCCTCAGAGCGTGGACTCCCGGCCCATCCTAGCGCTAAGAGAGGTGGGGTTGATAATAGGCCTCCTGCACCTTCCTTGGGGTTATTTAGCTTATTTCTTACACATGTGCTTTCAGGAGTTGGGACGGCGTTGGCTGTGGAATCGCATTGCCGGTGTGGGTGGTGGCCTCGTACCTGGAGGCCGCGTGTCTCGCGCGGCGAGCGGCAGCGTTGGCGCTCGGACCACGTTGACGGCGCATGGGCCCGAGTTGCGGCTCACGAGCAACCGCGCAACCGCGGCCGAGAGGTGGGCGAGCTGCGCCCGCAGCTCGTGCAGCAGGGTCTCGTGCGCGCGGCGCAGCGGGCCGGTCTCGGCGCGGCACGACTCCAGAGGGTGCAGCCGCCGGTCAAAGGGAGGCCCTAAAAAGAGGCCGTCTTCACCCTGAGGGTGAAGAAACAACTTTGCTCGTCTCCACTATACCACGGCCTCGTTGGACTGCATCACTCTGACGGATGAGATAGATTACAGGACACACAAGTAGGTGGAGATGCAAAGGCCAGAAGCTAATCCTGTTAGCATTCAGGGTCAAGGAGGACTTAGTGGGTGTGAATACATGGAGATAGAGACACAGATACTCTTTGCCCTCACGAAATATAACCTGCATGTAATAGAAAGTAGCATATTCCTCATGTTTGTAGCCTGTATTGTTTCCTTCTGGTTTCACTGCTGAAAATGTGACAATGAAAATCAAAGTTCAATTGGGAATGCGGCCGGTTGTTGATGCCAGATAATAATTTGGATATTCCTCTTTTGGGGAACATGGGTCCAAACATTCATGACACTCTGATGTCACTACAGAAAAAACAACAGCATTGAGAACCTCAGACGGACGGAGGAAAAGTGCTCCAGCAGGACTTTATTTACGTCACGTTGAGCGGCGTACCGGCGCCTCCAGGGACTCCACCCGGCGGTGGTGGCTCCTCAGCTCCTCCGTCAGCTCCGACGCGGTGTCCCTCAGCTCCTCCAGCTGCTCCTTCCTGTTCCGGTTCTCGTGGAGCCAGTGCGAGATGTCGTCGGTGCAGCGGAGCATGTCCGGGCAGCGCCGCCGCGCCGCCCCCGCCGGCACCGGGCGCAGCGTGGCCGTCAGCCGGCAGCGGCCCCCGGGGGTCAGCTGGCTGCTGTACTCGCCGCACTGTGCCGAGGAGCCGCCGACGGTGCGGCGGAAGGTGGGGTTGGCTCCGTCGTCGGGGACCAGGCCGGGGGCCCAGTCGGCGTCCTCGTAGCGGCCTTTGCTCAGGTCCCAGTTTGTGTCAAAGTCGGCGTCCAGCACGTTGGGGCGCACGTCCTCGTGTTGCGCGACGTCTGGCCGTGCGTACGAGTCACCGGTGACACGGTGACACCGGCGGGTCAGTAAGACACAGGCCAGTAAAAGGGTTCGCCAGCTCATCCTGAGCGTCCGCTCACGGACCCGCTGCTGCTCCGTGTCCATAGCAACTCCAAGTCCTCGGATTCAATCAGCCAAAGTCCTGGATTATAGGAAGACGAAGATCAAGATACTCTGAATCCTTTATCCTGGAGCTAATTGTGTTTTACAGAATCACTCAACATCAACGTTCTTCTCTGACATTAATGTGGTGCTTTTCACCGTGACAACGCACACCAAAAACGCACCTTCACAACAGTTCATGCTTCCAACTGCACCACCACACGATGGCCTCGGAACTTTGACAACTAGAGCGAAGGGGAACACACGTTAAGGGGGAACAATTCAAATAAAGCCCCTTTGCTTTACTTGACTTTTAGGTTGAACCCCTCACCTGTCGGCCTGCAGGTCACCGCGTCGCAGAGCTGAGTTTATCGCAGTGGAAAAGCGTCGGGACAGCAGAGGCCGTCTGTTTGTGTGCGAGTGTGCGCGCCGCGTACGACACCTTATCCTGATAATCCCGTGGCGGGATGGGCGGCCGTTGGCCTGCAAGGTAACGGATTACGTTTGATGGGTTTAGAACAACGCGACGGCGCGTTACAGAACGCCATCGCGTCGATGGATTCACACACAAATAGTGAATCACAGTGCGTAGTCTAATCATTCGCGCTGATTACCCGCCCCAATCCCCCTGCGACCTTCATATGACCATCCAGGTACTTCCAGCTTGCAGAGGTGGAACGCATTCTGCAGCCACTGACTCTGAGTCGTGATGTTCTTCCATTTCTCTCCAGCGCGACAGACAGACGGAAATGAAAGACACGAGTCTGTGAATAAAGTGCCTCCTCCTGTGATACTGGGTCGATAATGTCATCGGTTGGCTCTTCGGGCCCTTTCGTTGTGCCATTACCTGAGTGTGTGTGTGTGTGTGTGTGTGTGTGTGTGTGTGTGATGGGCTGAAGGGAGGTTCAAGGCCGTCCTCTAATGGGTTTATATTTACCTGCACAAGATGCTCTGTTTGTTCCATTAGTGAAGCAGCTTGAGACACAAACACATCTTGAGTTCTCCATTAAGATTCCGCCTGAAAACGATTGTTTTGCAGCAACGTTTCTTTGCTTTTTTTTCACATGTTGAACGTTGTGAGAAGACGACGTTGGAAACAAGAAGACTTGGTAACCGTTAACGTGACAGAACAATGTGTGGCTCTGATTTAGATCTTAATGAAAGGTCGCAGCGTGAGACTCCCGGTGGAAGAGTTGCTCATCACGTGAACCTGTGATGAATCATGAATGAAGGAACTTGTGCCTCGATGAGCAAACCGGACGTTACGGTTTCTACTCAATGTCATCGTGCTTTGATGATCACTCGGAAGGCTGCAAATCAGACGAAGCAACGGTTCAGTTCTCGGACCACCGGTTCCTCTGTTGGTGGCCGTGGAGCCGAGAGAAGCTCCCAGAGGGACTGGAGCTTGTGCACCAAAAGAAGAGAAGTGCAACTGTCAAAAAGCCACAAACTGACGTCCTCAATGCTGAGGATGCTTATTAGGAACTAAGCGTAAAAGGTTCTAGTGGTCTTGAAGCCTTGAAGGGTCCTAGTTGTCACACCGAGGCTCCTGGGGGACACGGAGCTTTAACAAATGAAGTTGATCCTCGGCCACCTTTCCCCCGGGTGTCCGTTGAACCAGTCGGCCCCCTCGCAGATGAATCATTGGTCACGCCGGCGGCTTGCTGAATGGAAAGAGGCTGCAGCAGGTGTGTGTGTGTGAGTAACTGTAGACCGTGACCCCGCGCTCCCCCAGCGCCGTGACCGCGTGTCGGCTCGGTGTTAATCCGCCCGATGCCCCGGCTGACATTTAGCGCCCGGCGGCGGCGGCGGCGGACTCGCATTGGTGGGTTTCCTCCAGCTTTGGAGTTTGTTGTTTGTTGTGTTCCCTTTGTGAGACGACGTAATCAACCACAGCGTCTTTGTAAAATCACATCAGGAAACTGACGAGTTGCTGTTGTGTTCAGATTAAAGCACACTGTGCGTGTTATCTGACTAAAGGAAGATTTTGCACCAATATAATATTCCAAAAGAGTGACGCAGGGGTGACCGTTTGGAGACGAAACCCTGATGTCTGATTATTGCAGAAAATAATATGCAAACCAACGAATGGTTCAGAAAGACAATCTTCACCCATTTAGTGATATTTGAAGCTGCAGGAGTAAAAAGTTGACACTTTTATTGTAGTCATGAGTAAAACACAACACGGGCATGAAGGCGGGCTCGTCGCCATGACGACGTTTACTCCTTTTAGCCACAATTGAATTCAATACGGTACTTTTATACCGTACTACAAAATGCTGAGAAATCCTCTGCTGGTTTTCACCACTGACCTGTTTTCCTTTGGAGTCACTTTTTATCGCTCAAGGACGGCAAATCCAAACCACTTGGTGCGCTTGAGGAAAGAGCACGAAGGGGGTGCTGATAAAATCAGTAAAACACAAACAGCGGTCTGAGGGTCGAAAGTCCCGTGTTTGTCTGACCCGTCCCCTCCTGCTGCTTGGGGGTCATTTCGCTCCGTAGCCTTTTCCACTGGACCCTCTGAAGCCAAAATGGAATTACATGGTTGATGTTTTTGAGCGGCCCTTGAGCATCGGACGCAGACGCACTGAGGCTGATGGAGCAAGAGGGGTCAAAGTTCAACGCTGTTGGGAAGTTTTAATCGAAGAGCGACGATTGTGATGGTGACGATGGTGTGTGTTTGTGAGCGTGTGTGACGTGTGTGTGTGTGTGTGGGTGGGAAGGAAGGATGATGTTCACTTATGGACTTCTCCTCGCAGCGGTGTGTGTGTGTGTGCTGTGTGAGAAAAATGACCAGGTGAGCAACGTCATCGACTCAAGTGTGTGTGTGTGTGTGTGTGTGTGTGTGTGTGTGTGTGTGTGTGTGTGTGTGTGTGTGCGTGTGTGTGTGTGTGTGTGTGTGTGTGTGTGTGTGTGTGTGTGTGTGTGTGTGTGTGTGTGTCCTTGGCTGGCATCATATAAAGTCGCGGTCAGATGGAACGACGGTAGTGGAGGAACAACAGAAACCTCTGACCAGCAGCTGAACACAACCGGGAGAAAGAGAAGGACGGTGAGTGTCTTCATTATGTTTGAATATTATAATGTTTTGCTTTTTCCAAATTATATTGAAAACTGTCTATTTTATATTGTACATGCGAAAAAACTTTTAAACTAAAAGGACAGCCGTGGAAAATAAATAAAAACAAAACAAACATAACTATAATTGTAGTGATAATAAGCAATATTGCCAACAGTGTTATAAGATTACAAACAAAGACCTAGAAAAGAAATGATGCGTGAATCCATGAAATGTAAAATAGATTCTCTTTTATTATACGAGAGAACACAGGTCATTTTTGAAATGTTTTCCTTAAATCATCTTTTGAACAAAGCGTTGACAATGACTACCATTATTTGTTCTATTTCATAACCTGCAGCAAGGTCTAGAACATCTTTTTTTACATATACTTTTCATATGAGAAAATATGTACAATTATTTATTAATTGTAATACAGCTATGTATTTTTCTATTTTCTTGTTTTAGGATTTAATTGTTTGGATATTTACTCCACAATGTTTCTTACTTATAAATTTGTAAAAATATCATCTTATTTGGTGTTGCTCTTTGCTGTAAATGGGGTGTTGTTAAATGTTCTGTTTTTCTGAGTATTGCTAAGTGAACATAAATAAATTATTTCGTGTAAAGCTTTGGATGTTCAATTTATTAAAATTCATAATATATCATTTTAAAAGCTTTATCAGGTCTTTAGATATTTAAATGAAAGCCTAAACAAATAGAGTAAAACACATGTGTCACAAATGAGAAGCTTTTATTTTTGAATGAACGCACACAATCAGAGATCAAACAAAACACCGTATGAGTTGCAGAGAAATGTATCCTGCGTGGCTATTGGTGGTTGTGGCGGTGATGGGCGTGGCCGGAGGAGACGTCAGTCTGTGCTGGGAACATCCAAGCTGTCAGGACGTCAACTCTGAGACGAGCATGATGGTAACGCGCGCACACACACACACACACACACACACACACACACACACACACACACACACACACACACACACACACACGATCACAGTTTTGGTCTTGAACATTGGAAATACAACAAAGTATTCAAAATATAAACATTTGGGTTGATATAGTTTTGACTACAGTTCAATATATTTTTTTCAATCTTCACTTATTAATCTTTTTTGAAATTCGCGGTATTATATTTTTGGTTGCAGATTTTATATCTTCAGATTTAACTTTTGACCTTGATGCGGGGTAAGGGGCGGGGCAAGTGAGAGGGGCGTGGCATCACGAGTTAACGTCTTCTTCGTCTCGCGCTTCCGTGGGGAGTCGCCCCGGATCGCTCCTCCTGCGTTGGTTTCAAACATCTGCCCGCCTCCTCCTCCCGCAGGAGTGCGTCGAGCTGTGCCGCTCCGACCTCACCGCCGAGGCGCCCGTCGTCCCGGGCGCGGCCCACCTCCAGCCGCCTCCTCCTCCATCCGAGGCCCTGCCGATCCTCTCGCTTCTGTCCTCCCCCTCCTCCCCCTCCTCCCCGCAGGCCAAGCGCTCCTACTCCATGGAGCACTTCCGCTGGGGGAAGCCCGTCGGGCGCAAGCGCCGCCCGGTCAAAGTGTACGCCCCCAACGGCGTGGAGGAGGAGTCGGCCGAGCTGTACCCCCCCGGGGAGATGAGGAGGCGCGAGCTGATGGAGGACGAGAAGAAGGCGCAGCAGCATCAGCGGGAGGAGGGGGAGGAGGAGGGGGAGGAGGAGCTCCCAGGTGACCACCACGAGAAGAAGGACGGCGCCTACAAGATGAAGCACTTCCGCTGGAGCGGCCCGCCGGCCAGCAAGCGCTACGGCGGCTTCATGAGGAGCTGGGACGAGCGCGACCCGAGGCCGCTGCTCACGCTCCTCAAGAACGTCCTGAACACGGAGGGACGGCAGTGAGGGAGGAGGGGGTGGAGGGGGAGGAGGAGCAGACAGACGGGCCCACGAGTCCTTCAGAAAAACCCAGATACACCTCGAAACCGAGACCATGAATATGTGTGGATGAATAAATGGGAAAATCGCTTTTCACTGCGATGCCGCCTTGTTATTTGGATATATTATGATAGATACAGACTCAATGTCACGATATAAATCAATATGTCCCGGACAATACTAGAATGTTGATAGTGGCAAATGTCTCTTTTAATCCAGCAAACTCTCAGAAGGGTAAAGATATCCAGTTTGAAAACACATCATCATTCACAATTGAGGCTCTTGTTCTAAAATATTTGACCTAATTAAGGATCCAGCTGTCAGAATCATCGCTGGGTCGTAGTTTGAGTTAAAGGTTAATAAAGTAAAAGAGGCCTTAAACTCCTCAAAAGCCTGAACTCTAAAAAAGTTCCCTGAGTTGGAACAGTTTCAATTATTTTAACTTTGCTCTCTGCTCACTTTGAAAATGAGTTTAAAACCCTCTTAATAAAACCACATAGAGGTTTTAGGAAGGGACAGTAATTTAACACCAAGGTGTCTTCTAAGGTGTCCTCTCAGTCGGGTCCCAACAGGACGAACGCGGCTGTCTGCTCCTCCGAGGCGGGGCTCGAACCCACGGTCACCGGTCCCGCTCGGTAACTCCTCCTGGGATGATTCTTTTTATCAAATGAGTCATGTAAATACATGTAAATGACATGAAAACATAAAGTTATTTGCAAGCAAAAGACTCGAAGAATTGATTTGTATCTATCGATCCACTTAATGTAGTGACAGAAGATGTCCGCCAGAGGGCAGCACCGCACACACCTTACCGATGGGGACCTTGAGAAGAAAAGGTTGTAAAAGGATTATTATCTGGACTTTAATGAATCCGTGTTTCTGTGTTATACTATATTTGGAAACAGCTGATTAGATTCTAATTATTAGGATATTTATTGGTTTACTGCTGGAAACTTGACATTTGACTAAAGTTTAGTTTCAGCAGTTAGGCTCAAGTATCTAGAAAAACATCTGATATTTATTAATATCTAAAATAGTTCAAAATACTGAGAATCTGATGATCTCACGCTGAGACAAAGTGGGTCTGAGAGGATTTAACAGATCTTCTGTGAAACAAACTGCTGGAACACAACGTGTTTGGAAAGTCTTTATTGATTAAGTGAAGGAAGAACAAACATTACTGCATAGAAAATTGATTGGAACCAGTATGGGAGTGAACCAGTATCAGAGCCCCAGTGGCTCAGCTCACTGGGAACACTGGTCTCTCCTCAGCGTCTCTGAGAGCGCAGTCTGGGAGCCCTGGGTGGCCTCACAGGTCACGGAGCGCACCTTGGCCCACTGGTTTGCAGGGAGCCTCAGGGTGCTGCTCCAGCTGTAGAGGGCGCCCCCCCCCAGCACCCCGGGGCTCCTGCTCTCCTCCCAGCTGCTGCTGCTGCCGTCCACCTTCCAGGCCAGACTCCAGTCGGAGGGGAAGCCCTTGTCGGCCAGGCACACCAGCGTGGCCGTCCCCTGCTGCAGCTCCTCCCTGGAGGGGGGCAGCACCGTCAGGGTGGGCCGGACATCACCTAGGAGACACGATCAGCTGTCAATCAAGCTCCAGACATGGGACCCCTTCACTGTGAGAGGGCCGATTCAGGCCTTTGAGGAGTTTCTGCCAGATGTTTCTTCTGCTCCAGCAGTCACTCACTCACACCATGTTTCACTTCCCTTCAAGAAGCCTCTCATGCACATCAGCACAGAGACAATCCTCAGACAGGAGGACATGAAACCACAGAAGAAACGTCCACATGAGGACAAATGTTAAAACTGTCCAAAAACGCTGGTCTAAAATAATGATTTCAAGTGTGAATTAATAGAGAAAATAAACCAACAGCAATCAAACTTTCTTCATGTGGATTTCAGGCAAAATTTAAAAATATTGTTTTAAAGTTCAAGACGTTTGAGAGAATGAAGTCGATCGTTAACTCGTCCGTAAACATTTATTCAAATAATCGGATCATTTTTCATTATGAAAAAACAAAAACCAACATTCTGATATTTTTCTTGAGGTTCATGTTTTTTACACGTTATAAGTTGAAAGGAGTTTGTAACAAAATGTTTAGTAGAGCTTCTCTAATATAAATGTATAAAGGAGGAGAAAGTAAGGCATGAAATCAGAAAGAGCTTTAAATAAAGAAACAGATAATTTTACTTTGACTTTTCATACAAATAACGTTTTAAAGTTCACTGATGGAAAGTTTCTCTCTGATTGCAAAATATCTGAAAAACATACATAAATATATAAAAGCATCTATTTTCTGTTTTGCCTGTTGAATATAAATATAAATATAACACATTATAGTCAGAAACAATGAGATTATTAAAGGTTTGACTTACTTCCAACGCTCAGTCTGGTTCCTCCACCAAACGTGATCCACAGTGACACGAAGGCATCGAACCGCCGTACAAAAACCTGTGAGAGTAGAGACACACGACTCTGTGACAGACACACAAACACACTACACACATTCAGTGTGTACAAGACCTCGACCCATCAAACTGATCAACACAAAGTAAATGTGTATTCAACCGGTTATTTGATGAACGTTTGACATCTGTGAGTGATATTTAATTAATAAAAAACAAATAAATGATTACTAAAGAACATTTTACAAAAATGTATATTAATATTTTAGTGTTTCTTTACACATTTCCAATATCCAAAAATGTGAAAATGATCATAAATGTATATTTATTGTGCGCTATAAGAATGAAAAAATATCCATTTTGATGAATTTTGTCTCATTCTGATGTTAATTTACATTGTAGTAAATTTTGGGGATCTTATAAAACATTCCGGAAGAAAAGTTTTCCATCAAACGGCATCAAAGACTCGTTAACGAGCACTGACACATTCCTGATCAATGGAGCGATCAGCTGATTGATCCATTGATCACCAGCGTCATCAGAGGAGTCAGGCACAGCATTTCCATAGAGACACTTTGCATCAGCAGCACATGCTCCAGTGCTCTGGGAGACCTTATAGTCCTGAGAGTTGGACCCTGGAGGACAGCTGTCCTTCATCACAGCAGAAGACACAGAGATCCTCCTCATCACAAACATGACTCTGATCTGCGTCCTCGTCTGGACTCTCCTCTGCTTCACAGGTAAAGTCCAGAGGACCAAAGTCCTCTCCTCTGTGGACGTGCGTCCCTCTGAAATGAAGGAGACACGACCATGACGCTGCTTTATGTCTTTGTCTCCGTGTCCTCAGAGTCCAGAGGCCAGGTCACAGTGACTCAGCCTGGAGCAGTGAGCTCTGCTGCTGGAGGCTCCGTCTCCATCTCATGTACAACCAGTCAGATTGTTCATGGCTCTATTTATTTAGCCTGGTACCAACAGAGAGACGGAGGAGCTCCTAAGCTGCTGATTTATGATGCTACCACTCGAGCATCAGAGACTCCAGGTCGTTTTACAGGCAGTGGATCAGGATCTTCCTTCACTCTGAGCATCAGTGGAGTCACAGCTGAAGATGCAGCACATTACTACTGTCAGAGTTTTCATGTAATCAATAGTCAGTATGTGTTCACACAGTGAAAAAGAGTCGTACAAAAACCTCCTTCAGTCAGAAGGAACAGAAACTGAACTGACAGCTGACGCACTTCACTGGACACACACACACACACACACACACACACACACACACACACACACACACACACACACACACACACACACACACACACACACAATGTACACGTTCATCAAGAGCTTTTAGTGTTTCACTATTATTACTGTAACCACTAATGAACATTTATTACAAAGAGTTCAAGGACAAAAAGGATATTGATGGAATTCAAATGATTCTTTCCCCCATGTGTTCCAACTCAGTTTCACAGCAAAATGTGTAACAGGGACGTTGGTCCACAAGGGAAAACGTAGTATTCGAGATAGTAGGTAGATTTTGAGAAAAGTAAAGATGAAATCAGTAATATTGACATGATATTCGTCTTTTCTCAATCTTTGAACTGTCTGTAAACCAGATCAAAAAATGGTATCACTCTGCTTTCATTTGATCCTACTGCGTGTTGACCTCCTCTATGCTCATGTAAAATAGTGTGTTTATCACAGATAACAGACCGACAGTCCGCCATTTTCTTTTTTTACATGAGGGTAACTTGATAGTCACGTGACCCAATTGCAAGGAAATGTAAATGAATAGGCCGAATAAAACGGAGTATTGTCACCATTTTGGGGGCAAATGGTGACAATACTACGTTGTCCCTTGTGGACCAACGTAGCTTTTTCACATTTTGCTGTGAGACACCTATGAATGAAGAAGTAGGTGAGACTTATTTAAACCACATTACCTGAAACAGAGAGAGAATTATCATCAACGTTCAACGAGGCAAACAGACTTTTATCATCCAGTTGAATGAATAATCTCATTCGATCTGGTCTCTCAGATTAGTGAAGCTGCAGATAAGAGACGATCTGGAGGAATAAGTGCGACCAGGTTGCATTAGTGCGTCTGTCTTTGGGTTCATACAGAATGAGATGTTAGCGTCATGCTACGTGTTGTGAGCTATGAAAGGACTCGTCAGCGTTCATGCGTCTCTGCAGGCGGCGGCTGTTCTTCTTTCTGTCTCATACTCAGATCACGACTGAAAGAACTTGTGTGAAGGAAACGCAGATGTTTCTCATTCTGGTTCATTACTGGAACGTCTACTTATTGAAATAGATGTTCTCTGTTACTGTGTTTTATCAATGAAACCGGCACCAACACACAAAAGACTGAATGCGCAGAGAAGTTGAAGCACGAGGTGATTACCTGAAGGCAGCGTTCAATAGGTACGTAGACTGGAAAGCACATGTAGGGAGGGAAGAGCGTTATGGCCGATACTCTAAAAGAGACAGAACAAACCGGCCCAGAGAGAAGAGGACACGAAGGAACACACAATGAAAGGAGGGACACAACCACCAAGAAGCACACGATCACAAAGTGGGGAAACACAAGAGCCGAGTCCACCGAAATAAAACAGGAAATATTAACTGAAAACTGGAGACAAGAAGAAAATCACCTCAGAGGAGAGTTGTGACACGTGAACCATGAAGAAATGTTGTTCTACAGAATAAAACCAAGCTGAAGATCCTGGTGGAAACTTCTCTTGATTAATGTTTCACTGTTTAATTCACACGAGTGATGATTGTGTTTGTGGAAACTTTAATAAAGCTCAAACTGTTCTTTGGAGGGTTGAAGAAGAGTCTTCAGTTCATGGTCATGTTAACGTGTTTCTTAAGAAGTTACATCACAGGTGATTTAAATAGTGAAACCCGGTCATGTGACGAGGACTCACTGGCTCCGTGTGTTTGCATACGTGTCCTTCCTCTCTGCTCACACGCCTTAAGAGAGCTGATCAGTGGCGTCCAGGCCTCACGCACACTGACACGCCGGCAGCACAATGATGATGTCACTGAGTCTACTGCTGACCAGCCTGGGGCTCCTTGTTCAGGGTGAGACCCTCTTCTGGAGGCTTTGCTTCTCCACAGGGACGTTCTGCTGTGATGGAGAACCAGTGGAACAAGCAGCGTGGACCTTCTTCACCTGTTCACCGTGTTGAAGAAATGAGACTCTTCTTTCTGGATGTTGATCATCTTTCTCCAAACTGGATTTGTCTCAATAACCCTTCTGCTCTTCTTCATGTTTTCCAGGTTCATCAGGAGAAATCCAGTTGACTCAGTCTCC